CATCTAACTTGCCCTTAAACGATCAATTTACTTATTTACAACTTGCACCAATTTCATTAATTCAAGTCTACCACGAACATCTATGACAAAATATAACGATCATATATGGTTCCAAACGGGATTATATGACTCCGAGATGTATCCCCTAAAATATAATCTTAAATCTTTTCGACACCGTGTCCCGAAACCTCCAAAATTTCTCAAAAAGCGTGGATAATAGCCTTCAATTTTGGATTTTTTTTTTACTTTTTTTCTCCCAAAATAAAATTTGCCGAAATTTTTACATGGTCCCTAATACCCTCTAGGAGTCCAATTGGGTGGGTGGAACCATCCAATTTGTCTTAAACGGTCAATATACCGATTTACAACTTGCACCGATTTCATTTTTCCAAGCCTACCACGAACATTAATTTATGACAACAAATGACGATCATATATGGTTCCAAACGGTATTATATGACCCCGAGATGTATCACCAAGAATTTTAAGATTTTTCGTCACCGGACCTGAAACCTCCAAAATTTCTCAAAAAATGTGGAACCATATATGACCTGAGATGTATCCCCTAAAATCTTACGTCTTTTCGACACCGTGTCCCGAAACCTCTAAAATTTCTCAAAAAGCGTGGATATTAGCCTTCAATTTTGGAATTTTTCTTACTTTTTTTCGCCCGAAAATAAAAATTGCCGAAATTTTTACCAAATGGTCCCTAATACCCTCTGGGAGTCCAATTGGGTAAGTGGAACCATCCAATTTGCCTTTAAACGACCAATAAACCGATTAACAACTTGCACCGATTTCATTTTTTCAAGCCTACCACGAACATTTATGACAATAAATAATGATCATATATGGTTCCAAACGTCATTATATGACCCGAGATGTATCCCCTAGAATTTCAAGACTTTTCGACACCGGCCCTTGAAACCTCCTAAATTTCTCAAAAAGCGTGCATATTAGCCTTCAATTTTGTAATTTTTTGTTTTTTTCCCATAAATAAAATTTTCCGAAATGTTTGTCATGGTCCCTAATACCCTCCAAGAGTTCAATTAGGTGGGTGGAACCATCCAATTCGCCTTTAAACGTCCAATTTACGGGTTTACAACTTACAACGATTTCATTAACTCAAGCCTACCAGAAACATTTATGACAACATATAATGATCATTTATGTTTCCAAACGGCATTATATGACTCCGAGATGTATCCCCTAAAATCTTAAGTCTTTTTGACACCGTATCAAGTGAAACCATCCTATTTACCTTTAAATGGTGAATTTACAAGTTTACAGCATCCACGGATTTCAGTAACTCAAGCCTATTACGAACATTTATGACAACACATAATTATCATATATGGTTTCAAACAGCATTATATGACCCGGAGATGTATCCCCTAAAATTTTAAGACTTTTCGACACCGGGCTTCGAAACCTCCAAAATTTCTCAAAATTCTCAAAAAGTCTTCAATTTTTGGAATTATTTTTTTACTTTTTTCGCCTGGAAATAAAATTTGACGAAATGTTTACTATGACCCCTAATATCCTCTGAGAGTCCAATTGGATTGGTGGAACCATCCAATTTGCCTTTAAATTACCAATTTAATTACTGATTTACAACCTGTACGGATTTCATTAACTCATGCCTACTACGAACATTTATGACAACATATAATGATCATATATGGTTCCAAACGACATTATATGACCCCGAGATGTATTTCGTAAAATATTAATAGTTTTATATACCGGACCCCGAAACCTCCAAAATTTCTCAAAAAGCGTGGATATTAGTCTTCAATTTTGAAATTTTTTGATTTTTTCGCCCGAAAATTAAATTGCCGAAATGTTTACCATGGTCCTTAATACCCTCTGGGAGTCTAATTGGGTGGGTGGAACCATCTAATTTTCCTTTAAACGACCAATTTACCACTTTACAACTTGCACTGATTTCATTAATTCAAGCCTACCATGAATATTTATGACAACAAATAATGATCATATATGGTTCCAAACGACATTATATGACCCCGAGATGTATCCCATAGAATTTCACGACTTTTCGACACCGGGCCCAGAAACCTCCAAATTTTCTCAAAAAACGTGGATATTAGCCTTCAATTTTGGAATATTTTTACTTTTTTTCGCTTGGGAAAAAATTGTGGAAATTTTTACCACGGTCCCTAATACCCTCCGGGAGTCTAATTGGGTGTGTGGAACCATTCAATTTTCTTTTAAACGACCAATTTACCGTTTCACGACTTGGGCCGATTTACCGGTTTACAACGACCAATTTAATTAACTTGCACCGAACCCGACTTGAACCGAAATTGATCCAAACCCGTTTTAACTCGTCAAAACCCGAATTTAACCCGACTTGTTACTAACCTGACCTGAATTCAACCCGACCCATTCCTAACCCGACCCGAATTTAACCCAAGCTGTTACAATTTAACCCGAAATTAACCTGACTTGTTATTAACTTGACCCAAATTCAACCCGACTTGTTATTTACCCGACCCGAATTTTATCTTACTAATTACTTACCCAACCCAAAAATTGAACCCGATCTGTTACTAGCTCGACTCAAAATTAACACGAGTTGTTATTGACCTGACCATAATTCAACCCAAATTGTTCCTGACCCGATTTCAAATCACCTTAAATGCAATTTAGACCACCTTATTATTGTTTATCAAAGCATTTTGTCTTGGGAGACCAAGTCGGTCCAGGTCAGCAGAAGAAAGAAGCATCATCCTTAAATTTAAGAGTTAAATATAGTATATATTTGTTGTATGGTCAAAGGAGATAATTATCTTCCTAAATTATAGACTATAGTTCCCTAGTATATTGCCATATATATTATAGTCAAAGAAAATAATTAGCTTGATAAAAATGATAATAATTTATTTATAGTTAGTTGAAGCCGAATATGACCTAACTTGGAAATGGCCCGACCTAATTGTAACTTGCAAATTATTGACTTGAACCAAACCCGACTTGAATCCGAGAATGACTTGACCTGGCAATGACCCAATGTGATTATAAGCCTTAATTTATTGACTTGAACCAAACCCGACTTGATTCCGAGAATGATCCGACTTGAAAATGACCCGACCTGATTATAATCTGCAAATTATTAACTTGAACTGAACCCGACTCAAACCCTAGAATGACTCGATTTGATACTAACCCGCAAATTATTGACTTGAATAGAACCCGACCCGAATCCGGGAATTACCCTAACCTATTTTAACTTGTGAAAACCTGAATTAAACCTGACCTATTGTTCACCCGACCCGAATGTAACCCGACCTGTTGTTAACAAAAACCTGATAAGAAGTATGACCCGACGTGACTCGACTCAAGCATGACCCGACCCAACCCAAACCCGACCCGTATAGGTTATGGAATTAATCTGAATTGACCCAACCCAAGTTAACCCAACCCACTCTTACCCGACCCAAAGCCGACCTGTTTACCCGAATTGACTGCTCTAAATACGAGTACAATAATGAAAGTTACAACTATAAGAAATTCTTGTAAAATTAAATTGTTAAACATTACAGAGTATGCACATTGTGTAGCAAGCTACCGCTAAAACACTGATCGGACGACTTCTAACTGATTGAGTAATTTCGGCCACACAGTATAACCAACAACCTAAACCTTTTTTTTTTTTTTTTTTTTTTTTTTTCTTTTTAAAATCAAAATTAGTTTTTTAAAATAAAGGGGATGTGGGGTGTGAGAGATTGATCACCTTTAAGGCCAAATCAATTGTCCTTATCATCAAAGTGCTCGCTAGTGTCCTTTGCCACTTGCATCGCAAGTCACATTGGACTGACTCCTTCACTCTAACTGATTTGGTCCCACATTCTTTCTTTTTTCCTAACCTCTTTAAATTATTTATTCTCCCCCTTTAAATATTTTATATTCCGCCAAATATTAAACAACAAATTTCCAAATTATTATAGCTCAATCTTTCTTAATAAGTGAGACAAAATTTTGAGATGCCACATCTCTTATAGGGGACAAATTCTGTTTCAAATTCTACCTCACAACCTTAATGTTGCAATATTTGTTGTTTCTTTAGTTACAGTATTTACTAAGGAAAAAAATAAAATAAAATACTAGTATACCATATTTCAGTTAATCTTAAATGCTAATGTAATTTGAACAAGAATCGACAACCAAATAATCAAAATTAGCGTAATTAATCTCCTTCATAAGACACCAAAAGTGACAAAATTCATGAAAAAATCGTGCTTAATTATAGTGTAACCTACGTGTAAAGTTGTAAATGAATACAATCCTATCTCACTCAACCAACTTAACTTAGGGATTAATATGACTCTAACTAATTGATATTTTTCACACTAAAGATTAATTTGGCACTAACATAATCTATACTCGATTTCTTTTACACCAAAACTAGAGCAACCTTTAATCCTTACTCGAACTAAAACTAAACCAAATGACGCATTGAAAACAACTCAAAACCGAATACAATCAAAACCTAAATAAAAATAAAAATAAAAAAAATTAATTCATACTCCATATTCGAAGTACCTAGGGCAAAGGGAAAACAAACGTTCAGAAATCAGATATTCAGAATATCATCAAATCCCTAATTTATAATTAAAAATAAGGATAATGCTATACATAGCTCTAGGGCTATTTTACTCTTGAAAAATGTATAAAGTTAGGAATTCATGACAAAAACACGCGTAAATCGGTGTAATTAGTGTGTTTTTGTCGTGATTTTCTAAATTTAAACAATTTTCAAGAGTAAATTAAATGCTTGTATGTAGCCTATGTATAGCATTTTCCTAAAAATAATAATAAGAGTAATAATATTATTTGTAATAATTGTAATTTTATTGTAATAAACAAAAGGAAATCGATTTTATTTATTTATATATTCCCATCATATTTTTCCCCAAAAATATTTGTTTATCATTATCATCATTATCATCCGTACAAAATTCTGCAAAAACACAAAATTATGGCGACTGTTCAGGAATAGCGACCAGTACAGGCCGCCACGCTCTCCTCATCAACAATCTCTGCCTCAACGTCGCCGAAAACGGCCTCACGCCGCCGCTTCCTACTCTCATTGACGCCACCAATCCGCCGTCTCCGACACCGGAACCTCCGGTAGCCGGTAACAATCTCCGCTGATCATCTTCTTCTGGAACCTTCGTCGGCGAAGGAGAAGAAGAAGAAGAAGATACGAATAGATCCTTGAGCTTAAGCCTCGCGCCAAGATTACTCTCCTTCTCACTCGCCGATTTCTGGTCGGCGAGTTTGGGCCGTTCCGGCGAGTCGACTCGGCGATTGCTGTGATGGATGAATCGGCGGTTGAATGCGCTGGTGCTGTTGCCTCGGCCTCCGAGCAGCATTCGTAGGGTTTTGCGACGGCGGATGTGGATAACCGGGCTTGTGGTCGGGCTTCGGGTCGGGCTTCCGATAACTGCGCACTGTGTAGCTAGAAACTTGAATTTCTGTAGCGTCGCCATTTTTGGCGTGTTATCCCTGAAATTAGGGATTGGATTTGAATTAGGTGGAATTTTTGATGAGAGGAGAGAGAAAGTGGAGATTGCTTTGGGGGTGAGGCAGAAGAAGATGAAGAGAGGGAAGTGGGGAAATGGGAAAGTAAAGGGTAATTAGGAAGCTTTGCTTTTTATTTGGAGAATATTATGGGAGTATTGCTTAAATGCTTTGTCTTTTCATTTGTTTTTTTTTTTGAGGTTTGATCATTTCAAACCGTTCTTTGAATCAACGTGTGTAATGCCCTTGTTGTGTCATTGATACACAGGAATATTGTCCGTCCTTGGAATAAAAGTCAAGTCAAGTTGAGTTAAGACCTATTCTGAATTATTGAACTGATTGGAGCTGAAGTGAATAGATTAGTAGACCGGTAAAAAAAATTTTAGACAATTAAATAGTACGGTACTTTGTATAATCGTATATGTGATAATAATTGGGATATCGATAGGTAGATTTATCAACTAAACTTGGTACTTTGTAGATCGTAGTAATTGTTTAATGATTATCACGGGTATTTTTAAGGTCAAGTTGTAATAAAAGAGTAATTTGTTTGTTCATGCGTGTTTAAGAGAATTGATACTAAACTGAGAACGAAAGACAATGGGTATATAGCAATAATAGAAAGAAGACAACGAAATAGACAAATATGGTGCAAATTATAGATTCTTTTCCACAATGCAATCCAAAAATATAGTCTGATAATTTCCATCACACGTTGTTGTATACTTGTATGAGTTGTATGATTGTATCCAAACATAACGGATCCAATTCTAAATTTCTTTAAATCTAAGCACAGTTAAAGTAATGCGCCAAATTATTTTTATGTCATCATGAATTACTCGGTAATAGCGACGAAATGACCAAATTGTTTGTGGGAGCTAGAGACTAACTACTTTTAAGGGTTTTTCTCCCCTCCCTTTTATTATGACATGATCCTTTATAGGGCAAATATTATAAATTGTACGGAGAATAATAGTCCATTTTCTATGTTGTGCATAAAAATTACTACTGTACTATGCACATAAATAAAAGTCCAATTCAAACTTGTGTTTTACCAATTACGTTTCAGTGTATCACATTAAGGCCATGTTTGGTAATTGGCTTTTTGGTTAGCTTTTGGCTTTTAGCTTTTTTAGGTGGTCAAACAGCCAAAAAATGTGTTTGGCAATTGGCTTTTTAGTCGGTGAAAAAGCTGGCTTTTAAGCCAAAATGAAAAAGCTGCTTTGAGTAGCTTTTTTGTTGGCTTTTGGCTTGTTGGCCCACAAATTATCTAATAAACAGCCAACAACCACCAATTAATTTACCAAACACTTTTATAAACAGCCAGCTTAAACAGCCAATTTCAAAAGCCATTATAAACAGCCAAACATTCCAGCTGGTCAAACAAGTCAAGTGAACCAGCCAACAACCAACCGCCAACAGCCATTTGCCAAACAAGGCCTAAATAAAATCCTTAGTTTAATATGAATTACCAAAATTAACAAGTACGGAGTACTAAATAATAAGAAACTAAACTCAATTGATAAAAGCTAATTTAAAATGAAGCAAATGTGTCAAATTGAAAAAAAGCCGAATGTGGTACCATTTTCAAACAAGGATAAATCACTTTGTGCTAATTTTTTGTAATTTTTTGACCAATTACAATCCATCTAAAAATTTCGCAAATCTATGAAACCTCTATTCGTATGCACACAAGTACACAACACATACACACAGTACCATAATAATTTAGCAGCTTTTGGTCCAGATTTTCCCAAGACTTAATGTTTAGAACTTTAGACCCATTCAAAATATGTGAGTAAAAAAGCTTTCTTGAATATTCAATGCGCCGAAAAAGGAGTAAAAGAAGAACGTCCATTAAAAGAATTAAAAGCATAAAGTATACAGTATGCTCTAATCAACAAATTAGAAATTTTGTTTATAGGATTAGCGTGGTAATGTAGTATCTTAGGAAAAGGTAAGAAATTTGATTCACTTATTTTTCATACTTAACTTTTCTCCTTTAACCATTTTTCAAGAATAATAGTGACCAAAAACATCTATGAGTCAGCGGTATTGTCATATTGCAAAATGATTAAAATGTTCCTTCTTTCCCGTTATTGTGTATCATAATATGTGTTTGTGTATTACTCATTTATAGTGATTAATATCGAATTAAAAGAGTTACATTACTGAACATTTTTTTTTTTGAGAGCCACAAAGAGCGAGGCGGGGTGAAAATCGATCCCAGAATCTCTTGGAATCGAAAAAGAAGCTCTAACCACTTGAGCTATCCCTCCCTCTCAACGAACAATTCAATGAATTTACATTAAGCGCATGCACATGTTATTACAGGAAAAACACAAGAAAGTATTAGTTAAGATCAAGAGTACAGAGTCAAAATTCATGCTAGGATTCACACAGCAGCACTTACATTATATTGTATGGAATACTATTTACAGATTTCTAAACTATGCACCCGTTAACTAAGCTCCACTAGCAACCTCCAACTAAGTAGGATAAGTAAAGCATTTTCAATTTTCATCCACTATATCTTATCAAGCATTTTAGTAATGATCTCAATGTCATTTCTTGCTACAATCGATAACTATAAGATAGGATTTACCATTAGTCATTCTTCATCTGATGCTTTTGTTACTCACTTACTCGGCTCTGTCTCGGGTGAAACTGGAGGAGGGACGTTTTTCAAAAGCCCTACATCATCGTTTTCATGGATATCCACTACTACTTGTATTTGCGAGTTATCCAATTCCTTCTGTATTCCTTTCAACGACTCAAGCACTTCTTTCATTGAAGGCCTTGCCTCTTTCTCTTGCTGCAAACACTGAAAAGCCACTTCTGATACTAGTTTCACCATCTTTTGTGCAAGGTGGTCCTTTTCACACCAAAGTTTCGGATCAACCAGCTCAGTGAATGCGTGTTTCTGGATTCTGTCAACAGCCATATTGGCCAAATTGATATCATGCCTATGCCGTGTGATATCTACTGCAACTTTTGATGATATTAGCTCTGCTAAAACAACTCCAAAGCTGTAAACATCGCTCTTTTCTGTCAGCTGATAGCATTGATAATATTCAGGATCAACATAACCAGGGGTTCCCTGTGGTGCTGTGGAAACATGGGTTACGTTATCTGGAAAAAGTCTTGATAACCCGAAATCAGCCACCTTCACCTTGAAGGAGTCATCCAAGAGAATATTTGTGGTCTTCACATCTCGGTGTATTACTTCATTTTCATGGAGGAAAGACAGGGCCTCTGCTGTCTCAACAGCAATGCTGAGCCGTGTGGACCAACGGAGTACATTGGATTGTGCAAGCTTCCCATGAAGATGATCAGCAACTGTTCCATTGGAGATGTACTCATAAACTAGGAGGAGCTCTCTGCTTCTCCTTGAGGTGCATCCATAAAGGGCAACCAGGTTCTTGTGCCTTAAACGCGCTAGAATCTGGATTTCATTCATGAACTGTCCCATATGCCTGCAACTATTCTCATATAAGCGTTTGACAGCAACTAAGCGCCCATCATTGAGCTTACCTGAAGGAAGATAATCAAGGAAAAAGATGTTAGATAAACTCATCAAACATTATTCCAGCACCAAAATCATATTCCTAACTTCCTCCATCACATATTGACAGGCGTATCCTGGTCTATTCAAATGAATAGCCTTGAAAGATTATCATTACTCAGAATTTGATATATGCAGTAATAGATAACTAAACATAGATGTGTTACTAAAGGTATGGAGCATGGAGAATTTTCTTTTTCCTAATCTGGTAGTTATTAATTCACCAATTATTAAATGTATGAACAGTTAAATGGGACAAATAATCAGGGTAATGGAGTTCATCATACCGTAATAGACAGTACCAAAGCCACCATCTCCCAGCTCCCGAGACTCGTGAAAATGCTCAGTGGCTTCTTCAAGTTCATTGTAGGCGAAGACCTTAACACCTAGGTAGTCAGCAGAATTTTCAAATTCTGACTTTGAGGAAGGATATGAGGGAAGGCTCTGAGACAGGTTGGTTGAAGGACTAGTCGTGTAGCCCTGGCTGTAACGATATTCATTGCTTGTAGCAGTTGTAGGAAGGCCATTGCTTGGATTACTGGGACCAAGATCTTTAGATTGATCCTGGGCAAGTGATTGCCTTCTCCTTCGAACAGCAAAGATGGAGCAACATAAAAGAGCAGCTGCAACAATTGCGCCTCCAACAGATAACCCTGAAAATGAAATCAGAAGAAATTTTTAAGATTACTGATATATATAAATTATCTTATGCAGGAGTTAATACAGTAATTTTCAGAACAACAAATTATACCTATTATAACTGCCGGCTTGGTGCCAGATTTACCTGCAGTAACAATTACAATATGTGGACTAGTCAGAGTAGAGATCAAAAGGAACACAGTTTATAGATTATAATGGAACATGAAAACAAAGACAAATTCTATAAAAATAAATAAAATAGAGAAATAAGAGAGTGGGTAGTTGAATTTGTTCCTAAAACAAAAGTTGAATTCTTTAGTCTACTCACAGCATTCTTCAACATAAACAGCAAAATAAAAAATACGAAGAATATTATTTAAATTAATAAAAAGGGTTGAATTGAGTAAGCATACGCCACATTCAGTCATCCCTTGCGTAGTAAGAATATCATTTCACAATTTTGTAAGATTATAAAACTTAATTATTAGTAAGCTGCAAAATATAAAGTAATCGTAGATATTTAACAAATAGTTAACTACATTAAAATACTAAAATCGTTTAGCATTGTGCTCATCTGGAAGTTTAGGACTTATAATATGCAGAGCGCACAAATATAAAAAAAATAAAAAACACAGAATGCACAAATATTTTACAGAGATGAAAACAAAAATATGTGAGCAGAAACTGATGCAAGTCACTATGTAGCTGCCAGAAGAGCTTTGTATAATAAAAGCATCAGAAACGTATGATTTATACTTAATTTTGTGATAAGAACACGGCTGCTTAGCTTCAGAATGGTACAAACCTTCAAATGTGTACAAAAAATCTGCTTTAATTTCAAGATTACCAAATCTGAAAGGCTGCTAACTGTATACAGACATCAGACATCTCTATAGCTAAAATCACATGGCTTGCTAAGGATTATTATGGGCACTACTGAACAAAACCCCATTTTCTCCAACTAATCGTCATTAGTTACAGTAAAAACCAGTTTTCTTCAGTAACATTTAGTTAATAACAAGTAATAATCAGTTTTAATTTGTAAAATCCAGTTCAGATAATTGATTAGTACAGTAAAATTTGGCTGGAGAGAACTGAACCTGAATAAGTTAGATAAAAATGTCAGCATAAGTAAAGGAGTCATACCAGGGCATTTATAAGCATAAGGTTGATCAGGACAGAAGCAAGTAAATCTACTCATAGTAGTATTATACCCACATTCCCCACCTGATTTGCGACACTTATCACACAAATCATTCTCTGCTTTCCACTTTAACTCAAACCATAGCGTAATGCCGCCATTAAGCTTATCGTATCTACTATCCTCAGAGCAGATGATTCATAATTAATAATAGGCACAGTAATGCTTCTGTTGCATGTATCCCTACGGATATTCCTGCCTAAGGTGGACGACTCTAAACCCTTGGGAACGAAGTAGCCAAATGGAGTACGAGGATCACTACGAGAATTAGGACATGTAAAAGAATTAGTCATTGGCATAGAAACATTAGGACAACCATAGTAAAAGGTGACATTATTATCCAGGTCTACATAGCTGAAGAGGTCGCAGTTTATGCTGGTATTATGCAGATTCCCAGGGCAATAACCATCCCAGTAGTCTTTTCTCGCAACAGTAATTATAGGTTGATCTGGTTTCACCCCAATAACGTAATACCTCTCTGACAACGTAACAGAGATATCTGGAGGACTGCTGCGGCAGTTAAGCTGAAACCCGGGATAACCACAGTAATCAGGACGAGCGGTACCGCCATAGAAAGGGTAACTTAAGTTAGAGAAAGTTCCACACTCAAAGGGCTTGTTGCATTCTTCGTACCTCTCATCATCAGCATAAGCATAATGTTGGAGGTGGAATAAGCGAAAGATGATGAAGAGAACGAGGAAGACGGTAGAGAGAAAAGAGAGTTCCATGTTAGAAATGAGAAATGAAGAAAGATTGATCATCAAATACCATGTTTGATCAATTTTTTCTTTCAAAGAGTGGTTGTTGAAAAGAACAGCTAATGCTGAATAATATTTGTCCACAAAATATCACTGTTGGGGGCCAAGGGTGGTGAAGAGACTAAATGGCCGTTGAACGTAGACTTATAAGGCCAATGGAACTTTCTTGTCAACTCAACTCGAAAGATTTTAAAGTGGAGGGAAAGATAGACTTGTCTTCATAAATAATAACATCTCCTTTAATACTTTTCTATCTTGGCCTCCTTCCTTTGTCTTCACTCTTCACCAAACATCCTTAGCCTGGTCAATGTTCCTAAAATGTTTTCATTGACTTCGTAGACCACTGTAATGTGTTTAATTACTGTTGCGAGTTGGTTTAATCCCTAATATTTGACAGAATTTTTTTTTTTTTTTTCCTGTTTTTTTATTTTTACTTGTAATGTTAAAATCACAATCAGAATTGATTATGTGAATAATATGAATAAAAATCAAAACGTTGGAAGTAAATAAGAAAAAAAAAGAGGTTTTTTTTTAGCTTTTCAAGCTTAAGCAATGAAACCTGTTTCAACTAACCAATAACCACGCCAGCCAATTCAAGACCAGCCCTAGTCAACCCGGAATTAGAACAGACAAAGTTGGTTTAATCCTCAATTGGTTGTGTTTGGCAATAGTAGTGTTTTACTCCGTTAAGGTTAGCCTGTAAAAATGGCTTTCGAACCATTGAATGAATTATTAAAAATTCGAATGATTTTGTGCCTTTAAAAAGCCAATACTAACCCAACAAGATAAAGGATAGGCTAAAGTGTTCCCAAATTATTACCTTTACAAATCTCAATTTCATCCAACATTATTATTTCTAGAGTCAAAAATCTAAAGTCTACCCACTTAAATAACTACAGGATTCAAGCCTAGCCCAACACACAGATCGGTAGGAAACGGGTGGGTTTGGTACTCTCTGGCTATGTTACTCACTTACTCAAACTCGAATACCAATGTCTAATACGAGTACGTGTAGGTACTTGAGATGAAACAAAGAGTCAGAGTTACATAGCTTTCGTACAAGTTAACTATTGGCATGGTCCTCCCTATCCTAAAGTCTGTGGTCACCTACACTAGAAACTCAATGAAAACAGTTTATAAGAATCAGAAAGATGCAATTTCATACGCATAAATAATCTTGCAGACAGCTAGTTTGATGACATCAGAGGACCAAATTAACAAGATATAGTAAAGATTTAGCTTATGGAGTCTCGTAAATTAAACAGACCATCATCTAATCAAGATTTAATCTAAGTTATTCAGAAGATTCAGTATAACCAAATAAAAAGGAAAGGATTCATACTGTCATTGGGATAGCAAGTGAAATTTCTCTGGCTAAAATCATACCCACACTCCCCACCTCTTTTTTCACGGCATTCATCACAATTATCGTTGTCAGCTATCCACTCTAAATTGAAGCCTTTTTCAAAGGCACGCTTTACGCTGTCTTTATCTCTCAAAATGTCTACAGATTGATTGAATAATGGGGCAATGATTTTGCTTTGGCATGGAATTTGTGAGATATAATCATCACCAATCTTAAAGTAAACTCCAGGATGATTATCATTTATGTTCGGACAAGTAAACGGACTTGCTGAACCTAGGGATGGTATAACAGGAATTGAAGTAGGACAATCATAGTAGAAGGTAAAATTTGCAACTTCATCTGTGTACTTGTAAAGGCTGTAGTTTAAGGTGGTATTGAACAAATTATCCGGGCAGGGAGTATTCCAGAAGTCTTTTGGAGCGACATCAATAGTATGTGAGCTTGGATCCATCCTTAGAAGAAGGTATTTCTCGGATGACTGTGTCACTGAAATTTCACCATATTCATTGCTGCAGTTGAGCTTATAGCCAGGATAGCCACAGTAATCTGGGCGGGTATCATCGTCATAAAAAGGGTAGCCTATGTCGTTTAAATCACCACACTGAATCAGCTTTTTGCATTCTTCGTATTTGCTAGCCTCGACAGACATATGGAATAGGATCAAGAGGAAGATGATGATCATGAGGAAGAAAGATGATTGAAAACAGAGCTTCATCTTTCTTAGTCTTAGAGAAGGTTTGATGGAGAAAGGAGAAGAGTTTTAATTTTGTTGGCCTTATTTGATAACTTATTCAAGGAGAACTACAATTTTTAAAGATGGCTCTTAAAGAATAATCAATGATATAAGTCAAGTTAACAAAAGCATCCTCTCAAATGAAGTCAGAAAATTGGAAAAAAAAAAAAAAAAAAAGAATTGTAAGCTTATTTTTTTTTGAATAAGGGTGGCTCCTAGGAATTGTAGATTACCAGGGCTGTGCAGATTTTTTTCACTACAAATGTGACCGGACTGATGGCTTTTCATGGGTACGGCCTGGCCGGCTGGCCGGTTGGTAATCAGCTCTATAGTCTATATGCATTATTAAAATCTGAAAGTATAGACGTACACAAAAATTCAACAGTTACCCAGTTATGACCTACGGAATACGTAGTATCACAGTGAATTAGAGATACCAACTTTAATTCCTTTTACTTTTTGACAGAAAAAGAGAAGCTTCCTGTCAAACGCGGGTTTAGTAACAAAAATTCTTTTTAGCGAGGCAAGAAATTTTTGTAGTCTTGACTAGTTTACCTAAGATAATTATACATAATACAAAGTCCCACAAATCCTTATTGGTTTACCTTTAGATATTTATGACTAGTCTTACAAATCTTTATCTAGGATGTCGGTGTCTTCGAGAGTGCACATTTTCTAGGTAAATTCCTCTCTTCCTACACATGCTAAGGTAGCCAAAATAAATAACCCCAACTCTTGACGATCTATTTCCCGTCTTTAGATATAACACCTAAGGAAGTCCCTATCATGCATGTCCAACCATCTAGAACTAAGACAGTGGCTGGTTTATTTACCAGGAAACAATGCAATTCCATACTAATTCAATTCCAATACTTCCCCACCCTACACAAACACACGCACGCGCATACACACAGCAAAACATGCTAAACATCACATCTCAAGAAGGTAGTAACAAATACCTTAAGCAACCTAATATAAAGATCATAAAAAATAAAGATAAAAATTAAAAATATGTAAGTGCTCATACCATCACATCTGAAATTATGAACATCATCAGCGCAATAGCAAGTGAATCTACTCAGATTAGTATTATACCCACACTCCCCACTTGATCCACGACAATCATCACATAAGTCATCGTTTGCAATCCACTCTAACTCAAAACCACTCTGTAGAGCTGCATGTAAGCTTGACATATCGGTTATATTTGCAGCAACAGATCTGTAAACTGGGACAGATACATTACTTCTGCATAAACCCGGTGGGATATGACCAAGGTAGGACTCCAATACTTCAGTCATAAAGTAACCCATACCATTGTTTGTGTTAGTACAAGAAAACTGATTTCTTGAAGCTGGATATTCATTAGAACACTCATAAAAAAGGGTAACATTTTCGTTTGCAGTTGTGTAACTGAAAAGGCTGTAGTTTAAGCTAGTATCAGACAAGTTTGGTGGACAGACACCATCCCAGTAGTCTTCTCGAGCAACAGAGATAGTATGTGAATCTAGACTAACATGTAAAAGGTAATATTTCTCAGGTGAGGATGTTTTCAATGAGATTTCTGGCATATTGTTTTCATCACTGCAACTGACCTTAAAGCCAGGATGACCACAATATGCAGGGCGATATTGATCATCATAGAAAGGGTAGCCTAGGCTGATATTTCCACATTCAATAGTCCTTTTACATTCTTCATATTTAACTCCATTGGCATCAATGAACTTCAGAGGTCGGATTAAGGGGAAGATGATGAGAATGTAGAAGCAGCAGGATGGAAAAGACAGCTTCATCTTTGAGAGTTATGGAGAGATTAAGGAGAAAGGAGGAAGAGTTTCGGTAAAACCTCAAGAAAGAAGGTTTCGAACAACATATATGAGTCTAGGATCTTTGAACCCTCTCCATAAAAGAACTTAGAGATAAAACAAAAGCTTTGGTATTAGGTGATGCAAGGATTTTGGAGGCTTTCTCCATGGCAGATATTTAATCAATTTCTTCTTTGGGGAGAAGCATTGTTTAGATTCAAAGTGCATTTAATGAACTTAAATGTTCAGTACACCAAGTACAAAACTTTGACTCTGTATTTTTGCTAATATACTACTGGCTGCTAAAACCATGTGTTCTCCCATTTTAGTACTTGTAATTCATTATAAAAACAAGTTGGTATTCCAAATTATCCAACTGGGAATATTTTAGTTCTATGTTTAGATAGCTACTAAAATATACCTAAAAGCAGACGCATTAATTTTTTTTAAAAAAAATATAAAAAAAATTGCTACTGGTTATTAGACATAACTGACAATAAATATTGTATCTCACAAGTTTCATCAAGGTAGTAAGGTACGGAGTAAAATTCAAAGATATGTACTTCCTGTTAAATCCTACCCTCACTTGAGCACCTTATTCACCACAAACGCTATGATGCTTACTGTGTTCCCTACTATTCACTGCTAAATCATCTCTGTTGCAACGCCATTAACATTGGATCTGGCGTAACTTCTACACCTGGAGCTACTAAGGTTTTTTTTTTTTTTTTTTTTTGTTTTTTAATTTTTAAGTAATTCGGGAAATTGTACTCCTAGAATTGCCTAGAAGATAATTATCAAGCAAATTCCTTTTAAAAATAAGAAAAAAAGGAAGGCATCACTTAAAACAGGTCAGAATTATTAACACTTAAAAGACTTCAGTGAAAAAAGGTATTCTCAATTGGTTTTAAAATTTAAACTATTTTACAGTTGGTAATAAGCATGATCTTCAAAACATATAGCCTTTTTCTATATGGCTTGATCGCCTTATTGATATTAGTCGTCAAAAATACCCAATGAGCTGAGTTCCGACACCATATCCAATAAAATAAACCGGCAACTAAATCCCATAAATTTTCTTCTCCAAAGTCTATTAAAAATTATGAAAGTACTCTATATCACATCTTAATACTCCATAGTAAACTACTGAAACTTGGTTGAGTTGAACTATCAAACATACCTGATGGGGTAGGACATTCTGATGCATAAGGTTGGTCAGGGCAAAAGCAAGTGAATTTATTTCCGTGGAGATCATTCCCACACTGACCACCTGACTCTACACACGTCTTGCATTGATCATCGTTCACTTTCCACTGTAATTTAAAACCATCACGCAAAGCCTTAAGAACAGAGGCTTTGTCAATCTTTAATTCTGGAGCTAGTGTTTTGAGAATTGGTATGTTTACCACACTCCTACACCCTATATTAGGAGTATACACCCCAGTTTTGAAACAGACATCAATAAAGGAACCACTTTCGTTGCAAACACTGTAACCTAGAAAGCCCAAACTTATCATGGACGCAATAGGGCAGTCATAGCAGAGAGTCAAATAGACGGGGTTAAAGGGATACTCGAAGGGGCTGTTATTGATGCTGGTGTTTACCAGGGATGAAGGGCAAAGATCATCCCAAAAGTCATCTCTTGCCACTATAAGCTTATGTGCTTCAGCATCAGCTTTTAAGAATCTATATTTCTGAGATGTGATGGTAATGATTGGAACATCATTGCCAAGGCATTGAAGCTCATATCCAGGTAGGCCACAATATGGTGCCCTATTCTCTCCCCAGAAGGGATACCTTAAATTTTCTACGACACCACAGTTAAAAGGTTGACTGCAGTTTAAGAAATGCTCATCATAGGAGCTTATGAATTTTGAGGAGCTGATTACTAGTATGAAGAAATTGAGAGTAATTAATGAAAGAGATCTGGAAAGCTGGTGCTTCATTCTGTATGAAGCTCATGAAAGAAACTAGACGATGAGTATTTTGTTTATGAAATGAAAGGAATAGATTATTGACTCATTCACTTCAATATAAGTCATTAATTTTGCCCTGAAGAAAGATCAGTAAATCTGACTATTTTGTTTTATCTTTGAAAATTTTGCCTTGATAATTCTAGGGAAGAACTAACTGGAGTCTAAGAAAAATTAGTACTCCGTCGAATAGAATTGTCAACTCACATTTGCTTTTGCCCGTTTTATTTCTACTTTGTTAGGGTTGAGGATTTTTTTCAAGTAAAAGACTCGAATAGGTGCAGTTCCACATACTGGACTAAATTATTTTTGCAAGAAATTTCATTTATCTTACTGTAGTTTCTGTTGTAAGAACTAGCAAAAACTTAGGAGTTGGGAGGCTCTTTGCACCAAAGCGTTGAGCAAGGCCAACAAATCATGATTTAAAATTAGGTCACACTTTCTACCCCTGCCTCAATTGAAGTTAGTTGTCCCTTAATCCTGGAGACTGCAAAATTGGCTGAACACACCATGTGTCCATGTCACAAACTGGTCAACTTTCCTTCTTCATCTGATACTAGTGAACTCATCAGACTTTTCATTCTACCTCAATATCCATGTTATATATATAACACTACCGCGTGGTTTACTCGACATTTGACAATTCAACATGGGTACTGGTCCTTGATAGTTCAAACATGGGTATGGGTACTTGACATTACATCGCATAAAAAAAAGAACATGCAAATTGCTCATAAAGTAGTAGCTTAGATCCTAGGTGACAAAGTTGATAACTGGCCACTCTTCTCAAGAATTTGTTGACTATTACGCTTCTCGGTTAGGGAAAACATAACTTAATCGTGAAAGGAAGCATATGCTATAAAAGGCTTATTGAGTATAAAAGTTGATGTCAATTACATGACTTCTGCCTAAAGTCCAATGAAATATATATCTTATGCTGGAAGAACAATTATTTTACTTTTATGAGGTGAAGTAGGTTGGACTGAACAAAGAAAGAAAAAACTAACAAGTAACATCATAGTTTGTTAAGAGAAATTAATCACATACCTACCACCATGAGAATTAGGGCAAGAGAAGATTTCTAAGCTGACAAAGTCAAACTTCTGAGTAGTTCAACTAATACATATGCTTATACACTGGATTCAACCAATCCCAAGGAGGGGAACATGGGTAAAACAACGATCAAAATGAAAGAAAACCAGGATCCAGAACTTAGACAAATTGTTTTGAAGTTGTTTAGTCAAAAATGAGGTTTTAACACCTGTATTTTCTGATTAGAACACACGATGGACATAGGGATACAGCCTTTGGGTGGACAAAAATCGAATTATTAGTCTCATACACTTAGCATATCCTAGAGTAAATCTAATGATTTAAGAATAAAAAACACTAGGCTATATACCAGCAGCAGATGATTTCTGACTTTAATTAACAGCCAGTTTTATATGCACATACTGTACATAAACACATACCAATGCAATGCATTCGATTTAGTGCGAAAACATACCTGATTTAGCAGAAGATATTGAGTTGTTGCATGGTGTATCTCCAATACTTCCATCTAGGCAAAGACATGATATCTTATTTTTACTAAGATCAAAACCACATCTACCCTTTGATGCTTCACATTCAACACATAAATCTTCACCCTGAACCTTATAGATTGCTTCAAACCCTTTCCCAATGATTTGACTCGAACTCCACTTCCTTATTTGTGCAGCTGAAGAATCAACAACTGGGACCACAATGCTAGCAAAACACCCACTTGGGCCGATCGCTCCTTCTACCGGATAACCATCAGTGTCATTAGTACCATAGATTTTGCAAGTAAATTGACTAGGATTAGGCGTATAAGGAGGGGGGCACCCGTATAGAACCGTAAGATTACGGGATCCAGGCGCATAATCAAATAGCTCGGGATCGATAGTGGTGTTTATAAATTTCTGCATGCAAATTCCTTGAAGAAAATCCTCCCTGGCCATCTTCAGAACTTGTGTATTTTGATTGATGTCAAGGACATGATATTTCATACCCTTGCTTTGTATAGTAGTGGTAGCATTGTTTTCGCAACTGAGCTCTAAGTCCGGGAATCCACATTCCTTCGGCCTAGTGTCGCCCCCCCAGAAGGGAAACCCAGCTTTGACATTGCCACACCTGAAGTAATTCCCACAGCTATCATACAATTGTAGGTCACTGCCAAAACAGGTTGGAAAACAGAAAATAACCAAGAATATGATGTGCCATATTGTTTGGGAAATAAACACATGCAACTGAAAGAATTTCATATCAAAGGATCATAAGAATTAGATGAAGAAAAAAAAAATGTTTGAAAGATGGTAGGTTATGTAAGCAGAGGAATGATGCATAAATGATTGATAATTAATTACTTATGAAGGAGGGAAATTTTTTCAAAGGAAAAAATGGTTTTGGTAATTGTTTTTTGACCAACAAGCGCCAGAACAGTATTTTTTGTTGTCTTGCGTGTGTAACACTAGCCAGCAGTATAGATGGGCAGAAATATCAAATGTAACAAGAAAATATACATATTAGGTGAAGTGGAATCTTTATTAGTTCCAGCTACCAAACAAACATCATAGAAATATACGTATTATATAATTTACAATTGACAATTTAAAAAAGTAGGCTTAATCTATATAGTTAAAAGATCTTGCAGATTAAAAATGTGGAAGATTGGACAAATGCAGGTTAGGATAGTAATCCTATTCCGGGTGATACAAACACATCGATGGCTTTTACATGCTTTTTCATTGCATTATTATAATATTGAAGAAAACAAAATCTTTATTTAAAGATTAGAAAAAGTAGAAAAAGAACCTCATGGAAACTAGGGCCTCCACCATACAACCCGTGGGTAATTGGTATACGTGCATGGCGTACGACTAGTGTAAGAGTGTGTGTTGTGCACGTGCTGCTTAAAAACTTCTTGAAATTATTTAGATTCTAAATTTTTACATACACCTTATACACACAATATACTCTTATACGTACATGATATAACCAATTACATTCGCTAAAAGGTGGGAATAAATTCACAATTACAATTGTAAAAATTAGATAACTTCAACAAAACATTCAAATTGGTAAATTGGGTCACTTGAGTAATTAAAAATAATGGTGGAACGTAATATTTTGTGCCTCTTAACAAGGTTAAAAAATCTACTTATAAATATAATTCTTTGTAATTTGAAGATCTTTTTCACCAAGTATAATATCTAAGCCTTTGCTTTGAAATTTTCAAGCTTTTGTATCAATCATATTAAGATATAGTTAGGAAATATCCTAAGATTTGGTGAATATATTTAGATTTACTAGGATAATAATTGTTTCCTTGATTGTGTCGATTTCCCTAAGCTAGCAGGACATGTTTTTAGGTAGGCTTAGGAATCTTCTGCATTGTATTATATATAGGCTGCTTATGATATTAATCAAACCAAGCTAAATTTCACGACTTTACATGGTATCAGGCCAAAGTCTTTGATTTTTTTTTTCTTTCATTAATCATGGCTGGAGGTGATGAAACACCACCACCACCTACAAAAATCGAGCCAAATTCCCCATATTACCTCGGGTCGCAAGATCGACCAGGGGATTTTATTACTCCTACACGCCTCACAGCAGACAACTATGACTCTTGGGCTGCTGACATTCAAACGGCGTTGGAAGCTCGGAGGAAGTTCGACTTTCTTGATGGAACAATCAACAAACCATCACCTCCTTGCACGAAATCTGATTGGACGACAATTAATGCTATGCTAATTTCTTGGATTACAAATACGATTGATCCACAATTAAAATCCTCTTTGTCAAAATTTCGAGAAGCTAAACCCTTTTGGGATCACCTCAAACAACGCTTCTCTCAAACTAATGGCCCCCGAATTCAGCAACTTCGTTCGTCAATTGCTAAGTGCGAACAGAGCAAATTAATGATTGTTTCTGAGTACTTTGGCAAATTACATATTCTGTGGCAGGAGCTGGATCGTCATGAGCCTCTGATTTCTTGCTCTTGCTGTGCTTCGTGTTCAGCTGGCAGATTACATGAAGAACGCCGAGCACAAGCACGTTTACATGATTTTTTAATGGGTTTGTACCCTGATTATTACTCTTCACTCCGCACAAATATATTGTCTCAGGATCCTCTTCCAAGCCTTGACAGAGCTTATCAATTGGTGACTCAAGAAGAACGAGTTCGCACTTCACGATTGGAGGCCGAAATCAAGGCTGACTCGAAGCCGACAGAAGCTGTGGGCTTTGCGGTTCGAGCAAATCCTGATCGTGGCAGAGGACGGGATAAACCCGTGTGTTCGAAGTGTCGTAAAACAGGACATGAGGCTTCATCTTGCTGGGCTGACAAGATTTGTAACCACTGCAAGAAGCAGGGTCACCCTGAAACTCACTGTTATGAGCTTGTGGGTAGGACCGATGCTAAGAGATCTTCTTCCACAGGCCAAGGACGAGGACAAGTTCGTGCTAATGCTGCTACAAGTGGTAGTGTGTCTTCTTCATCATCAAATTCTTCTGTTTCGGCCTTAGGGAAGCTATTCACACCGGAGCAATGGAAAGCCATTGCGGGGGTTGTCGGTAATGCTAATATTCCCGATAATAGATTGACCGATAAGTTTGATGTTTCATCTTGGATCATTGATACCGGTGCCACACATCATGTTACAGGGGATTCCTCTTGGTTGTTTGACACTCAAAAACTTGACTGCCCTGTTGGTTTGCCGAACGGGTCACAAGTGGTGGCTACCTTGGTCGGATCCGTTTACTTATCGGATAAAATTACACTTACTGGAGTTCTTTATGTTCCCACTTTAAGTTGTAATTTACTTTCTGTTTCTTTAATGATGATTTACGAACTATTGTTCAATTTGATTCACATGTTTGTGCTATACAGGACCAAGCGAAGGAGCTGATTGGAGCGGGGATTAAGAGAGACGGACTGTACTACTTTAGCAAACCGAAATTTGTGTCCTCTGTGGAAGCAACATCGTCTTTGGAGCTATGGCATCGTCGGCTCGGTCATCCTTCGGAAAAAGTAGTTAAGTTAATTCCTTGTGTTAGTAGTAGTAAAGAGCATTTAAATAATGGTTGTGAAGTATGTATGCATGCTAAACATCCAAGAGACAAATTTCCTTTAAGTGATAATAAAGCTTCTCGAATATTTGAAAAAGTACATTGTGATTTGTGGGGTCCTTATAGACATGTTTCATCTTGTGGAGCTCGTTATTTTTTAACAATAGTTGACGATTATTCAAGAGTTGTTTGGATTTATTTGTTGGTTGATAAAGTAGAAGTATTTCAAATGTTTATGTCTTTTGTTGCTATGGTTGATCGTCAATTCTCTCAAACAATAAAAGTGGTCCAAAGTGACAATGGGACTGAGTTTAATTGTTTACGTGATTATTTCAATGCCACTGGAATTTTATTTCAAACATCTTGTGTTGGGACTCCGCAACATAATGGACGAGTTGAGAGAAAACATAAACATATTTTGAATGTTGGGAGGGCATTACGATTCCAAGCAAAATTGCCTAATTATTTTTGGGGAGAGTGTGTCCTTACGGCTGCTCACTTAATCAATCGCACCCCCACTCCTCTTTTGCAGAATAAAACTCCTTTTGAGGTACTTTTTGGCAAATCACCTTTGTATGATGCTCTTCGTACTTTTGGTTGTTTGTGCTTTGCTCATAATCAGAAAACTAAGGGAGATAAGTTCGCTAGTCGTAGCCGAAAGTGTATCTTTGTTGGATACCCGTTCGGAAAGAAGGGTTGGAGATTGTTTGATTTGGAAAATAAAGAATTTTTTGACTCTCGAGACGTCAAATTTGCTGAGGAAGTATTTCCGTTTGAAAGTCCCGAAGTGGTGAATATCACAAATAATGAATATGATGCTTATGAAATTCATGAAGATTTTTCTGAAAATAATTTAAGGGAAGAACTTGGAGTTGGAGAACCATTCCAAGCTCATCAGTCCACTTCTCCAACGAGTCCAGCAAGCCCAGTAGCTTCTCAACCCACACAAGTGCATGGTGGGCCTTGAGTGAATCAGCCCACCAATTCTTCTGGTGAGTCCGCTGGAAAATCTGTGGCAGCTGGGTTGGACTCACAGCCCACGAATAATAGCTCTGGTGGGCCAGCACCGAATGAGGCCTCTTCCTTGGGTCCAGGATCTGGATCTGCAATAGATGGTTCAAATGTTCAAGAATTGGGCCGTGAATGTCGTGAGAAATTTCCTAATGTTAAGCATCGGGATTATGTGACACATACGGTTTTTGCTAATAGTCCGCACTCATCTCCTACTCCTTCCGGTCGCTCCTCAGGTACTCCTTATTCTTTAGCACATTACATTAATTGTGACAATTTTTCAAACAATTATCGTAGATTTCTTGCAGCTATTATTAAGGGTAAAGACCCAAAATCATTCAAAGAGGCGATGAAACATGATGGGTGGCGACAATCTATGAAGGAAGAAATTCGTGCTTTAGAGGATAACGGGACATGGACTCTAGAACATCTTCCTCCCGGGAAACGTGCTCTTGGCAGTCAATGGGTCTATAAGACCAAATATTTATCCAATGGTGATATTGAACGTCTTAAATCGAGATTGGTAGTGTTCGGTAATCATCAACAAGCGGGAATTGATTATGATGAGACTTTTGCTCCGGTGGCCAAGATGACCACCGTTCGTGCCTTTCTTGCAATAGCAGCTTCTAAAAATTGGGAGGTACATCAAATGGATGTTCATAATGCTTTTCTACATGGCGACCTACATGAAGAGGTTTACATGAAGCTTCCCCCCCGGGTTTGAAAGCCCAGATCCTTCTTTGGTATGCAGGTTGCGCAAGTCATTGTATGGCTTGAAACAAGCTCCTAGGTGTTGGTATGCAAAATTGACATCGGCCTTGAAACGATATGGTTTTAGGCAATCTTATTCTGATTATTCTCTCTTCACATACACTAATGGCAATACTCAAATAAATGTCTTAGTTTATGTTGATGATCTTGTTATTTCTGGGAATGATTCCGCTGCACTTAAGGTTTTCAAGGCATATCTTGGCGATTGCTTCAAAATGAAGGATCTCGGTCCTTTAAAATATTTTTTGGGCATTGAGGTGGCTCGGAGTTCGTCCGGATTTTTTTTGTGTCAACGGAAGTATACTTTGGATATTATCTCTGAGACAGGTTTACTGGGAGCAAAGCCTAGTGTGATTCCCATGGAACAAAATCATAGACTCGCCCATGCTAGTGGAGATTTTTTGCAGAATCCTGAGGCTTATCGTCGTCTAGTGGGACGGCTCATATATCTCGCGGTCACTCGACCGGATCTTGCCTACTCAGTTCATCCTATCACAGTTCATGCATGAACCACGCATAGAGCATTGGGAGGCAGCCTTGAGGGTTGTTCGTTATCTCAAAGGATCTCCCGGCCAAGGCATATTATTGCGCTCAGATAGTGAGCTCACTTTAGAGGGGTGGTGTGACTCAGATTGGGCGGCGTGTCCTCTAACACGACGCTCGTTGACAGGATGGCTAGTGTTTCTAGGAAAATCACCGATTTCTTGGAAAACTAAAAAGCAACCTACAGTATCTACATCTTTTGCAGAGGCGGAATACAGGTGCATGACTGGAGCCACTTGTGAATTAAAGTGGCTCAAGGGTTTATTGTTGAGCTTGGGTGTGCAACATCCTAAAGCTATTAAATTGTTCTGTGATAGTGAGTCAGCATTACATATTGCACGGAACCCTGTGTTTCATGAGCGTACGAAACACATAGAGGTGGATTGTCATTTTGTTCGCGATGCGATCAATGAAGGTTTGATTTCCCCGTCACATGTGTCTACTAAAGATCAATTGGCGGATATATTCACTAAAGCTCTCGACAAGGCTCAGTTTGATCATCTTCTTTCCAAGTTGGGCATTTACGACCCTAATGCTCCAACTTGGGGGGGGGGGGTATTAAGATATATTTAGGAAATATCCTAAGATTTGGTGAATGTATTTAGATTTACTAGGATAATAATTGTTTCCTTGATTGTGTCGATTTCCCTAAGCTAGCAGGACATTTTTTTAGGTAGGCTTAGGAATCTTCTGCATTGTATTATATATAGGCTGCTTATGATGTTAATCAAACCAAGCTAAATTTCACGACTTTACAAATCATCAAGGATTTGAGCAACTAGCGACTAGCGTACTCCAAGTAGGTTATTACTCCACAGAACATAAGAGCAGGCTTCAGCAACACGGTATACTAATACAGTGGCTTGAGTAAGTCAAAGACATAGCAGCCACACATCACACAAAACTAATTTGTGGACAGTATCCTCCATTACTAAATGTCAAATCTTTTCTTATTAGACAAATTCCCTTCACAAGAATTTCTTTCTTGCTTTTCAAATTGAAGGCCCACCAGAGTATAACTATCATTTAGGATGGAGGTAGCGATATGCTACCAATTAAACATGTTAATAAACGAGTATTAGAACTATTTAAAATGTAAACACCAAGAGGTTTTCCATTCATGAGACAAGTTAAGACGATATAAGGGAGAGCTAAGAGTGTAAGCTTACCAAGTGTGCAAGCAAAACAAGCAATAAAATTTAACATCAGCTCTTGGAAGTTGAAACAAGGGAAGAGGAGATCAACCAAATCCTGCATGATATATTATAACTTTGTAAGACTATGATTAAGACTATGTTCAGCAAAATCTTTTACTTAATGATGTAAACATAGTGATGCTCTTAGGGTTTTGCTTAGATGATCAGAAAAGTGCTCCTGTTTATGAGTTCATGCCTAGTGGATCTCTTAGAGAAATTTATATATGGGAGGAATAATTGTCATCCACTAATCTGGGAAATTCTATTCCAGATCTCAGTTGGGATAAGAAGGTTTAGAGTATTTGCACCAAGGTTGCAACACAAGAATATTGCATTTTGACATTAAGCCACACAACACTCTATTAGATGGAAATTTCGGCCCAAAAAAATATCGGACTTTAGCCTTGCTAAGTGGTGTGAGCGGAAAGAAAGTACTGAATCAATGTCAGTAGCAAGAGGAACAATAGGGTTAATTGCTCCTGACGTATTTCTCAAGAGTTTTGGGAGTGTGTCACACAAATCAGATGTTTATAGCTATGGAATGTTAGTTCTAGAAATGGTTGATTATAGAAACAACACATTTACTGAAGCTGAACATAACGAACAATATTTTCAACTTTGATATACAAGCAACCAATACAAATGCAAGAACATGATCACAAAGGGAGATTGGTAGGAGAAGAAAAAGATATACAAAGGAAGATGCTAGTGGTGATGGTGCATTCAAGCTAATCCTTTAAGCCGTCCGGCTATGAATAAGAATATAAGATGCTAGTGGTGATGGTGCATTCAAGCTAATCCTTCAAGCCGTCCGGCTATGAATAAGAATATAAGATGGTGGAAATGCTAGAAGGGCCTATTGAGACTTTACAAATTCCTCCAATGCCAACTGGCCCAACCCTGTCTTCTCCTTCATATCCACCTTGCCGGGTCCATATTCTTCAAAAATGCCTGTAATTACATCACTTGGGAATGGCATACAAGTTGTCTCCGAAATGATGATAACCATCAGCTACACTGATAGACTTCGGACATTAAATACAAGCAGCTAATCCGATTGTTGCTCTATAACTCTCTGTACACAACAATTTTCCTCTATTTTGGCCAAACTCACTATGCTAGTTCATTTCTATCCCATTAACCCAAGGAAAATTGAGGAAACACCAATCTATAGCTATCATATAGCAGGTTTTCTAAATGCAGTCAAGCGATGAACACTAGAAACAAACGTGTTCATACATTGACATGAACACTTAGAGGATTCACAAAAGGTAAAGTGTTCTACGGTTTTTAACGATTCTAAAATATAGCAATAGATTATCGCGACCACAGCAAGGGAAATTGTTAAGATAAGGAAGAATATCTTAGGGAATATATTTGATATATTTGTGTTTATACTATGATATCTTTAGGTAGGATAATATTTACTAAGATAAGATAGATATGAATTAGATTCCTACGTTGATTAGGTTTCTAAGATATGTGTATAAATATTGGATGAATGATGAATGAGAAGAGAGAGACTTTGAGATCAATTTATCATGGTATCAAGAGCCAGGGTAAGAATACAATTTTTTTTTGCCTTGAGTAAAATCTGAAATTAAACATACAATTTAATCGAACCATAGTTGAAGTCTGGGATCAAGTGATGGTCCGGGTAATATCATTACGCTTATACAATTGCGTGGTGAAAATTACGATGAATGGGCTCAAGCGATGCGAAAGTCTTTACTGGCTAAGCGTAAATTCGGCTTTGTAGATGGTACTATTGCAATGCCAAAGACGGATGCAAAGAAGATGGAGGATTGGATTGCTGTTCAGTCCATGTTAGTTTCTTGGATAACTAATACTCTTGACTCGAAGGTTCGATCGACCATTGGAGATTATGATGATGCGAGTGTCCTATGGCAAAATCTTAAGAACCGATTTTGTGTAGTTAGTGGCACCCGCGTTTGTCAACTGAAGACTGCTTTGGGAGCGTGTCAACAGTCTTCTACAGAGTCCGTAGCAGATTATTTCGGCAGGCTCTCGAAGATTTGGAAGGAGCTCTTGAATTATGTTCGGGTTCCTAAATGCGGATGTGGGAAGTGTGAGTGTAACATTGTTACACAGGTAGAAAGTATTAGAGAAGAAGACTACCTGCATTATTTTTTGATAGGCTTGGGCGCACACTACGCAGCGATTCGGGCTCAACTACTTGCACAATCACCTTTGCCAAGTGTGGATGTTGCTTACCAAAATGTAGCAATGGCGGAAAGACTGCGAGATGGGAGTATGAAGGTAGAGAATGCTGTGGCGTTTAAGGTGGACAAGGCAAAGCCAAAATATGAGGATAACAGTGACAAGTTTTGCAATCATTGTAATCGCATAGGCCATGACGAGAGTGGGTGTTTTCAGATCATTGGTTACCCCGAGTGGTGGGGGGACCGTGGTCGTGGAGGAAGAGGCAGAGGCCGTGGTGGAGGTCGTGGTGGCCGGGGAGGAGCACGCAATTCTGGCAGCAACTCGGCATCTACTTCATCACAGCAGCAGTCCGTGAGAGCCAACAAGGTTGGTGGTTCGTCACAACAACAATCGCAAGCCCCCTCGACTGATGATGCAGCAGCTAGTTTGGTAAGACAAATAAAATACCTTGGATTGTGGATACAGGTGCATCAAACCATGTTTCATGTGATTTAACGTTGTTTAAGAACGTGAAGAAAATCCAAAATTGTCCCGTAGGTTTTCCAGACGGAAAGTCGGCTAATGCGGATCAATTAGGAACGGTGATATTGCCGGGTGGTTTACAACTTGAGAACGTGCTTTACGTGCCTCAATTAACTTGCAATTTAATTTCTGTGACTCAATTAAATGATGAATCCAAGTGTATGATGCAATTTACTAACAAAATATGTGTTATACAGGACCCGCAGACGAGGAAGGTGATTGGTGTGGGTGAACGCGAGGATGGACTGTATATATTCCGGGGTGTGCCTCAAGTGAAGGTTCTAGCAGTAGAAGGAGATTCTTCGTTCGACTTATGACATCAACGGTTGGGACATCCCTCAGATTCAGTTTTGAGAAATATTCCACATGTGAGTAGCTCTTCTAGGAAAAATAATAAAATTTGTGATGTTTGTCCTCGTGCAAAACAATCTAGGAGTAGTTTTCCAATTAGTGAAAATAAAGCAAGTCGTATATTTGAACTTGTGCATATTGATTTATGGGGTTCGTATAAAATACCAGCCTCATGTGGTGCCCGTTATTTTTTAACAATAGTTGATGATTTTTCTAGAGGTGTATGGATTTATTTATTGAAAAATAAAACAGAGGTCGAATTAATGTTTTTGAATTTTGTTGCAATGGTGAAAAGACAATTTGATCATGTTATTAAAATTGTTAGGAGTGATAATGGCACAGAATTTAATAACTTGAAGGATTATTTTCATCATAATGGCATGATTTTCGAAACTTCTTGTGTGGGAACCCCGCAACAAAATGGGAGAGTAGAGAGAAAACATCAACGTATATTGAATGTAGCTCGGGCTTTAAGATTTCAAGGGAATTTGCCATTAAAATTTTGGGGTGAGTGTGTTTTAGCGGCATGTCATTTAATTAATAGAACTCCAACTCCTTTACTTGATAACAAAACCCCTTTTGAAATATTATTCAATAAACCACCGACGTATGAATATATTAAAGTATTTGGTTGTTTGTGTTATGCTCACAATCAAAAGACCAAGGGAGATAAATTTGCAAGTCGTAGTCGACGATGTATTTTTTTGGGATATCCATTTGGTAAAAAGGGTTGGAGAGTTCTAGATTTGGAAAACGGGGAGATATTTGTGTCCCGTGATGTAAGATTTTTTTAGAGTACTTTCCCATATATTGAAGATTTGGTAAAGGAAAAATCGGGGGTACATGAGCACTTACAGTTTGGGGCACTAGAGGATGTTTGTAGTGATGACGAGGGGTGGGGTGCAACACATGAGGAGCCCGGGGTGCAGCACCAACAACCCGTAGCCCAGCACCGGCCAGAGGGTGCTGGAGATGCCGCACAGCCCCAGGACAACGCTAACCAGCCCGCAGCAACACCAGCGGACGCTGGCAGGGAGTGTGGGAGTGACGGGCAGCAGCTAGGCACTGAGCAGCAGCGGCAGTGTCATGAGGGGCGTGCCGAGCCCGTGCTCGTGGGGAGGGGAGTGTTGAGGACTTGGGGAAAGGTAAACGACCAAAGATACCAAACACTAAATATCGAGATTTTGTCACTCACACAATACGGAAATACAGTCCATCATCAAGTACATCGACTCCTATATTATCTTCCTCAGGTACTCCTTATCCTCTCACATATTTTGTTGATTGCTCACGTTTTTCTGAGAAACATAAAAAGTATATTGCAGCTATAACAGCAGGGAACGAGCCTAGATCTTTCAAAGAGGCAATGAAACATGCAGGCTGGCGAGATGCGATGGCTGCAGAGATAAGAGCTCTAGAAGAGCAAGGCACTTGGGTACTTCAGAAACTTCCACCAGGGAAGAAAGCCTTGGGAAGTAAGTGGGTGTATACAAAGAAACGTGATGAGCATGGGAACTTGTTAAGATTGAAAGCACGATTGGTGATACTAGGCAATCATCAGGTGGAAGGTCTTGATTACAATGAGACATTTGCGCCAGTTGCAAAGATGACTACAGTTCGAACATTCTTAGCAGTAGCAGCAGTGAAGAATTGGGAAGTACATCAGATGGATGTGCACAATGCCTTTTTACATGGAGACTTGGAGGAGGAAATTTACATGAAAATTCCTCCAGGTTTCAATAAAAATAACTCTGATTATGTGTGCAGGATGAAAAAATCATTGTATGGTTTGAAACAGGCTCCCAGATGTTGGTTTGCAAAATTAACTGCAGCTCTGAAGAAGTACGAATTTAAGCAATCCTACTCAGATTATTCTTTGTTCACATTCACCAAAGGAAAATTGCAGTTGAATGTGTTGATATATGTTGATGACTTGATTGTTGCAGGGAACAATAAAGAAGCCTTATCAAAATTTAAGGCATACTTAGGAGATTGTTTTAAGATGAAGGACTTGGGAGTATTAAAATACTTCCTAGGACTTGAGGTTGCGAGAAGTAAGCAGGGAATTTATATTTGTCAACGGAAATATGCATTAGACATTATTTCTGAAACTGGTTTGGTGGGAGCTAAGCCTGCAAATTTCCAGATGGAACAAAATCATAAATTGGCTCTTGCGGAAGGCAGAGTATTGGAGGATGTAGAGAAATATAGACGGCTTGTTGGTCGTCTGATTTATTTATGTGTAACTAGGCCGGATCTAGCATATTCTGTTCATATTTTATCTCAGTTTATGCAAAATCCGAAGGAAGCACATTGGGAGGCCGCACTTAGAGTGGTGCGTTATTTGAAGAAACATCCAGGGCAAGGAATACTTCTTCGCTCGGATAGTGGATTGCAACTTGAAGGTTGGTGTGATTCTGATTGGGCTAGTTATCCTTTGTCTAGGAGGTCTTTGACGGGTTGGTTTGTGTTACTTGGTTTCTCCCCAATATCATGGCGGACAAAGAAACAACCCTCAGTTGCTACATCGTCTGCAGATGCGGAATACAGGTCAATGGCGGCTACGACGTGTGAACTAAAGTGGTTGAAACAACTACTACGAACTTTGGGTGTACAACATCCGCAGGGTATGAAATTATTTTGTGATAGCCAGTCAGCTTTGTACATTGCTAAAAATCCAGTATTTCGTGAAAGAACAAAACATATTGAAATTGATTTGCATTTTGTAAGAGATGCAATTCAGGAGGGACTGATTTCACCTTCGTATGTACCTACGAAGGAGCAGCTAGCAGACATTTTTACCAAAGCCTTGGGGAAGGCTCAGTTCGAGACTCTACTTTCCAAGTTGGGCATTCGTGACCTCCATGCTCCAACTTGAGGGGGATGTTAAGATAAGGAAGAATATCTTAGGGAATATATTTGATATATTTGTGTTTATATTATGATATCTTTAGGTAGGATAATATTTACTAAGATAAGATAGATATGAATTAGATTCCTACGTTGATTAGGTTTCTAAGATATGTGTATAAATATTGGATGAATGATGAATGAGAAGAGAGAGACTTTGAGATCAATTTATCAGAAATACAAAACAACTGCTACTTTGATTTCAATAGTTGTACGTCATCAATTAAACACTTAGATAAACAAAATACTTGAATTCCATATAACCAAAGATCGAAAGGTTCAATACTTTAGAAGGAATAAGAAAATAGAGAGAGGGCATAAAAGCGTAAACTAACCGAGTGTGCAAGCGAAACAAGCGAGGAAACCGAACGCCAACTCATCAACATCGAAGCAGCGGAAGAAGGAACAAAGCAAATCCTGCAATTGGAGACATTGAAACCTCCATCAACAACACTGAGAGTCACCGATGATCCAAAGATAAAGAACAAAATCAATGAGAATCTATAACAAAATATGAACAAAGTAAAGGATTTATAATCAAGTTGACAAAATTTTAAAACCCAGAATTCAAAGAGATAAAATTATTTTCATTGAGGCAAATCATCAAACATTTGGTGTGCGTTACTGAGAAATGGAAATTCTGAAAGAAACTTACATTTGATAACATTGCAGCAGTAGAATGGGACATTATGAGAATATTTGGAGTTTTGATTTTTGAAGAGGAGGAGTAACTGTACTGGAATTGGTATCAGAGATATGGCGGGAAAAGTTTTACGAGTTGGGTAGTTCAAATTTTCAGATGACAACGATAGGATAGCATCGTATTTTTTTTAAGGAGTATTCCGTACTACGTAGGTTTTATTTTTATTTTTTTATTTTTATTTTTATTTTCTTTTATTTTTTTTATTATTAATAATGATAAGGAGAAGAGTTTTATCAGATCAGAATCTCTTACATGTCTAACCCAATCCGGGCTAGCAGGCAAGACAATTTAAAAGTGGGGGTAAGAAATTCCCACCCCAGAGCCCCAAATTGTTACCTCTAGAGGGGTAACAATTCGAGTGAGCAGGTCGAGTTCAGGTCAGATTTCAGGTCGATTTCGAATTATACTTAGAAACTATCAAAAATAGTGTCAAACTTAATATTATTACAAAATATGAAACTTGGGTCGAATTCGAGTTGTTCAAGTTCGGGTTGGACCCTTCTAGAGTACAACAATTTTTTTTTTTTTTTATTAAGAAATTGGTATAGGCCTCAAGTGCTGTCATTAAGGTTCTAAACTTGTATACTAGATTCTTTAACTTAATATAAAGTCACACGGATCGGTAATAAGAAACAAACTAACAAAGTACTTACCTCCATTTCAAATTATTTGTAACGGTTTGGTACGAAGTATTTTCTACTCGTACTTTATGTTAAATTGTTACAAATAATTTCAATTTGAGCGAAATGCTGTTAAGCTAAAAGCATTGACCAAAGTTCGTCTAATTACACGAGTATGGTAAGAGTACCCTTTTTATTTTATTTTATTTTATTTTTGTGTGTGCTTTAACTATATTGCAGGTGTCAGATTTTATAAATCTGTTGAGGTTTGTGACTGTAACCTTAAAGAGCCACTGAGCGTGGAGGAAGAGGGAGCAAGCGAAGAGATGCGAGGAACTTGTAGTGAATCAACGGTCCCTTCTAACATTTCCACCACTTTACTCATCTCTGGCCGACTCGATGGGTTGGTTTTCACACACCATAAACTCACTAAAATCAACTTCTTCTGGATCTCCATCTCATCAGAACTCAACATCTGTTGCTCATCAACTGCTTCCCCTGCTTCGAGTTGTTCGTATATCCATTGAGGGAAATATTGTTCACTACTATGTTCATCAATTTCATTCTCGGCTTTTCTTCTACACCCAACCATTTCAAGAACCAACATTCCATAGCTATAAACATCCGACTTGTAGGAAACACCGCCAAAACTTCTGAGGTATACCCGTGCTAATGCGTAGGATATACGTAATAGGTATGTTTACCAAAACAAACTAAATAGTTATGGAAAAGTTTTTTCCCCTAATTTGAAAAAGTGGAAGTTATTTAAAAGTCATTTTCAAACTCTAGATACGATTATTATATAGATGTGAGATTGAGATAGATGATAGATGTTATATGGAATAAATTTCAGTGACTTGCTCAGATGATCAGATCACGGAACAAACACACAAGGATCGGAGCTAGTATGTAATTTAATTTGTAAGCTCAAAATATGTCATGAAGATATGTCAAAATAAATGTTGTAATATGGAACAAGGGGAGTTAATCATATAGAGAGGTAAATCACCTAGTAGCACAATCTTTGCCTTTGTTAGAGTGACCTTGTGTAGAGGGTCTCCTGTTTTATAACATTAAGTCAAAGAAGTCGAATTATTAAGTGCATTTAAGAATATGTATATATATATATATTAGCAACATACGATGATACGAAGTATATATTACCTGGGAAAGGGCACTTGCATTCATCAGTGCAGAAGCAGAAGAACTTATGTGAATGTGGCTCATGTCCACACTGCCCTCCTGATCTAAGACACGCTTCACACAAACCATTATTCGCGCTCCATTTGAGCTCCGTACCATTCCAAGCAGCTTGAGGTATGTAATCTCCCACCTTATCCATGATCAAATTGTCCGACAAGTGAGTTGGTAGGAAAAGATGGTTTGGACATGAAGCTACTGAGATATTACTTTTCAACATGGCCTTTCTAGTCAAGAGACAAATTGGTAAAGTCTCTGAAGGACTCATAGGACAAGAAGGGAATACTTTGAACGTAGTAAGATTACACAATGTGGAACAATTACCGTAAAACAAGGTGAGGTTTGTATCAAGAGGTGTATATTGAAATATGGAGAAATCAATTGTGATGTTTACTAGGGAGGCAGGGCACCCGGACCTGGTTCGAAAATCTTCCCTAGCAACATTTATGGTGGAAGACGTCGAGTTGATGGCCAAAACCATAAAAGTTTGCGACAATATTGTCATGGTAAATGGCTGGGAGTTTTGATTGCAACCAAAAAGCTCAAACTTAGGGTGTCCACAATATTGTGGTCTATCTAAACCATAAAAAGGATAGCTTAAATTTGTTATGTTTCCACAGTTAAATGGCTTACTGCAAGTTTTGAACTCTTTGCTTAGCCGGCTAAAAGATGTGGGTAAGTTGGTCATTAATACAAGGGTGATTATATATGAAGATGATACTAAGACATCCATTTATGAAGGTAGAAAGAAAAGGGAAGAAATAAATCAAGAAATGATACTCGTACTTGGTTTGTTGAAATGATAACGTCTTTCAAAGTTGCAGTGATAAAGTTATAAATCAGCTTACTCTTAATACGTAGTATTTGGTATGTTATTTGTCTAATTGCCTGTTTTTCCTGTACCAGCTTTTAAATTGGGTGTGACCTTTGAAAGGGAAAAAATTACAAGAATTATGAGTGGACAAGATATGTTTGCACCGACAAAATAATAATAAAATGACAAGATGTTAATTTTTTCCTTGATTTTTTTCTATATTAATTACAAAACGAAGAATTTAATCACTAATGAAAAATACACATCTCTTAATTTAATTTTTGTAGACTTTTAGGATTGAAATTTAGGAAGGTAACCAAATTGGATGTAGACAATGATCCTTCAAAGTTCCAACTTGCCGGTTGATGGATATTATTGGGTTTAATATTCTAAAGGCTTTCTATTTCATCTCACATTAGATTTATCAATTATTTTGGCCATGCCAAATTTTAGTCTCAAAATGAGCATTTCTTTTGTAATAAAATATCCTTTATTTTGCGATAATATTTGTGTAAAATTAGTTTTTTTCATGTATAATTTGCTTTAATCATGTACTTTTATTACTTTATGTCTCTATTTTTTTCAAATTTTATGTAAATTTACTTTTTCAATCTATCAATCAATAATCAATAATAATCTATAACTATAACTATAACTATAACTAAAATAAAAACCACTTACATCATCATACATGTCAATTTTTCATGAAAAAATTTCCCTCCAAAATTGTTTATGACATCATTTTTCTCATATCTTTCTCCTTCCAAATTTAATGTTGGAAAAATAATTTTTAATAAATAAATTAAAGTGTGAACATCAACTAACCAAAAACGTATCAGTGATCTCTTTCCAAAAACCCTCATTTTGTGATTTAATTATTTTATACTATATTGATTTTTATTTTTATTTTTTTATATTCTAAATCGTACATAGCATGAGTGCTAATCTAGTTAATACTAAAACAGACACTAAGAGTGACACAAGTCACGTCCTGATGCTGTTTTTTCCTTCCAAAACTCTCCTTCTCTTTTTAACCATTTTTTATGTGTGTGAATTTTTGTTACAGTTATAATTATATAATTCCAAATCTTCTATATTACGTTTTTTTTACATAAATATTACTTTTTATTTGGTGTTCGTAATTTTCCCATACACATTCACCTAAAATGTCATTCCAACTTCTTTAATTATTTGATAAAAGGAGTAATATTAGATTTTGCCAAAAAAGTAATACAATAATAAATTGATTCATATTATTGTTATTAAAGAAATTACTTTAAAGGGTTAACCTTTATCAAATAGCTCCACTAGTAGAACAATACAAAAAGGCAACCCCCAAATGGCACCAGTTCAGGCCAAACTGGTGCCAAAAATCGGCCTAAAAATGGGCGAGTTTTTAGACAAATAGAAATGGCACCGGTTCAGATCAAACCAGTGCCAAAAATACAAAGTAATAGAGTTTGATTGTGAAAAGTGAAAAAAAAATAAAATTATTAAGGTGATTTTTTTTTTTATTGACGGTAGAATAAGAATTTTATTTAGAGACAAAGTTGTTAAAAAAAAAGTAAGACTTTTATTGAGGATAGATGAGTAGAATAAAGTAGTTCTAAAACATAATTCAAACTTGTTCACGTTCTTTGATGTACTATTCATGAAAATTTTAAACTAGAATCGAGTAATCAACTAGTTCACAGTAAACCATTTATACTCATTAGCACCCATAGGAGATTAGGATCACATCCATACTTCTTTATTTCGACTTTGTTACACTATGCTCACAAACGACAAAAGGACATCAAACTAATATCTAGAGGAACTTGTTATTATGATACTTTGTTCTCGAGTTTTATAGGTGTCAATTAGTTTTAGAATGATACCTAAAATTTGAGATCAAATTCCGCTTAAGATATTCATCCTCGTTTATCCATATATGAAAGTACATATAGTTAATATAGGGCCCAAAATGGCCCGAACATTGTACTCAGTAAACAAAACTTCTCCTTTGTTAATTTCCCCCGCTTTCTCACTCCAATGAACAACTAACCCTCTCTTCCTCAAGTCAGCTCCTCCACTGTTCACCATGTCTTCAATCTCCTCTCCTCATCCAAACCCTAACCCTAACCCTAATCCCCAATTCCCCCAACTTTCAAATTCAATCAAATCAACCAACTTCAAATGCAAGAAGTTTCAATCCCAGAACACCCCTAATTGGTTAGAGCTTCCTGAAGAAGTTTGGTTCTTAATCCTCTCCAAATTAAGCACCATTGATATAATCGAAAATGTTCAGAAAGTTTGCTTGTTATTCCGTAATCTCTGCAAAAAACCTTCCATGTTCAAATTCATTGACATGACTTTGGAAGATGCTTATATGGACTTGCCTTATGACCCGAATGTCATGACCCGATTCGCTGTTGATCGTAGTGGTGGTTGTTTGGTTGATATTTACTTGGAGTATGTTTGTGATGATGATACGCTCATGTACATCGTTGAAAGGTACAACATTTTGAAATTTTTTCCTGCAATTTTTGTTGTTTGATTTTGTTAATTTTTGCAGTTTTCTTGATTTTTATATTGTTGGATGATCTAAATGATGTTGGTGAAAGAAATGTGAGAAAATTGGATACATATCATATATTTATTTGACTATCTTTAGGTTTTGGGGAGTCTTTCTCTGTCAAATATGCTCTTTACTTGTTTCATGCTATGCTGCAGGATTTATAAGGGTGCGTTCTATTAGATTGAATTCGACTTTAACTTATTGGAACTTATTGTAGTTGCGAATTGAACTTATAGAGAATTGTAATTTGATTTTTTTGGAAACAAATTATTATATGTTCTGCTAACTGCTAAACACACCCTGAAAGTATTGTGGAGGCTGTTCTGTTTCAGTTAATTGTAGCTTCTATGTTGAATTATTGAATTAATCTATGTTGGATGTAGGGATATTGCTCATAATCGAATCGACAAATTATAATTCGTTTAAAAATGACAACTTTAGTGTTAAAATCTTAAATTTATACTTCCTACAACTAGTTTAGAACAGGCTTCTATGTACAAATTGGTTTTTTGGGGTTTGGATTTTGACAATTGAGCATAAAAGATCTCTAAGAGAGCTCTGCTAGATTCCACTTGTTGATGGTTTTGCATTTTATATCTTTAAACTCATAAAATTTTCGAATAGGTCGAAGAATCTTAAGCATCTACGACTTGGGCACTATTTAGATGTTTCAGATGCTGGACTGATTGAAGCTGTTAAAAAGCTCCCGGTGCTTGAGGAATTGGAGCTTATTATCTGTAATTATTCTGTGGATACTATTGAAGCTATTGGCTGCGCCTGCCCTTCACTGAAATCATTCAGCCTAAATTCAGTCGGGTCTAATAATTGTACGTTAGCTCGCAATGAGGAAGCACTAGCTATTGCTAAAACCATGCCTAATTTGCACAATCTTCAACTGATTGGGAACTATATGACAAATGAAGGCTTGAAAGCAATCCTTGATGGATGCCCTCTCCTCGAATCCCTTGATCTACGTGCATGTTTCCTCATTGATTTATCGGGAGAATTAGGTAAAAGATGTAATCAGATCAAGCGCTTCCGACTACCATTTGACTCCACTGCAGATTATAGCCATGAAGCTTGTGAAGAATTCCTTGCTGACAAATGGATCTGCCTATCTGGTGGTAGCGGCTTCTTTGGTTTCTAGCCAAGTAGCCAACATATATTTTTTGGGGGTGTTGAGGATAATAAAAATACCTTACTATTTGATGGTCTCGTGGATTGCCCACTCTTTTGCTTTGCTGGTGAAGAGACTGAAGACCCCTTATTTTTCAGCCCATTTTCAGTCTTGCTGGATCTACAATCATGTATGTACTTCTGTATCAGGTTGATTTTGCCTTGGTTGCTTCCAATGTTTACTCAGCTCTTTTTTCGGCCTTAACTTGCTGGACGAATTAATTTTTCCTTGGTTGCATCCAATGTAATAGATCCTTTTGGTTTTTTTTTTCTTTTTTTTTTTGGTGAGTGGCAATATGGCAACATTTTTACTAGCCTAGTTCATGTACTATGTAATTTATCATATGTACTGTCAGGCTGTCAGCCCTGACATTTAGAAACATTTTGATTGTGTCCCTGATAACGAAGATTATAGTACGAAATACGAGTATTAAGAATCAAAACTTTTAGAAGCATTTCCTCTTGCCACTCAAACAATACAAAAACAAAAAGAAGATTAACAGAGTTCAGAACTTGCAGCCAGCTCTTTCACTATGGAAACAAAATATATGCAGCTTATCTTTACACAGTATGAGTTAGAGAAACTGAGATATCGTAGGCGCCTTGGAATTGAGCTCTTTGGCTGCAATCTCATTGGCAAACTGTATGGGATAATGATGCCATTCTCACGAGATTTATGTTTTAGGCTTCAACTTTACAGCTTCTACTAATTAATTTTTCCAGGGAAGATTATTACTACAGGACACCACTTTTTGTAAATTCTACATTTATCAAATTCTGTCTTAGGAAATGTGAATCTTAGTTTTTTTTTGCAGACTTTATGAAACGGACGTAGTAAGAACAATACCACCAAAAGGAGATTTAAGATTCAATAAAAATTACTTGGTAATTGATTAAAGTGACTTTTTGTCAAAGTTTACCTTATAAAATACTTACAAAATACTACTTGTCCTAACTTTTTTGACTTCGATAAGTTTGACTTTTTTTAGAGTTTACCCCTCATGGCCTCATAACTTCATAAGGTATAAGCACACGGGTTTATACAAGGCTCATCTTGAAAACACAAGCAAGATGAATTTGGGTTGTGACAGTATTTTTTTCAAATGATTGATAATGTATTTTTCTAGCTTCTCATGAGTTTTCAAGTTGTGTTTTGAGTAATTCAGTTGGTCAACATCTCAAGTACTTAGGGCCTGTTCTCATATGTTTATTTTCAATTCAGTTCAGTTTCTAATTTTCTTCTCTTATAAAATATTCATTTCAATTTAGTTCATTTCTTAATTTTCTTCTCTTATAAAATATTTATTTTAGTTCAGTTCAGTTCAGTTCAGTTAAGATGAGTTCAGCCAATAAAAATAGGCCCTTAATTTCTACTCGAGCCTAAGTTTAACAGACATACGTAATAAGCGACATTGAATATTCACTCTTCTCATTACAAAAAGTCTTTTTTTTTAGTTTTTACAAAAAGTTAACATGAATATGATGTACTTCACTCTTATGGACGTTACTGAGGACGATAGTCCAAATAGGCAAATACATATACATTGACAAAATATGGATTATAAAAGTGAGAATGTGGGACCATCATTAATTTTAAGGCCCAACCCACCACGAAAGTATAAAACCTTCAGTCCCCTTAATTCCCTCCATTTCCCAAATTCCGTCAACAAGAACTCCTTTACTCATTTCAATTTTCAATTCACATCAACAATGTCTTCAATTTCCTCTTCCCATCCAAACCCTAACCCTAACCCTAAATTCTCTGAACCTTCATCTTCAACCAAATCCAATCGCAAAAAAATAAACAATCGAAACAGGAAGAACAAGAACAAGAACAAGAACAAGAAAATTCCGAATTGGTTAGAGCTTCCCGAGGATGTTTGGTCCTTAATTTTGTCGAAATTAAACACAATTCACCTAATCGAAAATGTCCAGAAAGTTTGCATGTTATTCCGCAAGCTCTGCAAACAACCTTCGTTGTTCAAGGTGGTTGATATGACACTTCCAGATGCTTATATGGACTTGGATTTTGATGCTAATGTTTTGACTCGATTCATTGTTGATCGAAGTTGTGGCTGTTTGCTTGATATCTACTTGGAGTTTCTTTGTGATGATGATACTTTGATGTACATCGTTGACAGGTATATCATTCTTAGCCTCTCTCTAATTTTGATTTCGTGTTGTTTATTTTTTGCAATTTCTGGAGTATTATATTGTTGAATTATCTGAATTTTGTTCATTTTTCTGGAAAAAAAAATTGAATTATGTTGATTAGCTCAGAAATATAACAGAAGTGGATTATTTAAAGCTTTTTCTTTTTTTTTTTTTTGGTGTAAATTTGCCCGAATCTGACTATATGAGTTAATATGCACATGCTTAAAAATGTCAGAAAATATGGAAATATTTTGGTCGAATTTTTGTTGCGACCTCATTTCTGATATTAGGTGAACATTGGTCTCAATATTGGTAGTGTAAATCTGCAATGACACGAAACTAAGCATAAAAATTGAGTTTGATGGAGCTACCCTGTTCTGGAATCATCGCAATAATGTTTCCATTTAATCAATGTCAAGTAGACATATACCAAAATCACATTTGGCAATGGTGTTTGATGAATTTTCTTTGAAGTTGTTTAAATTAGTAAAAGAAATCGAACTTTTATCATCTATTTATCTTAGAGATTTAGTGAATATTGGCATTGATAGTCATTTGTTTTGGTTTGATCACAATGAACATGTTTGAAACAGGTCAAGGAATCTTAAGCATCTGCGAATAGGGAACTACATTTATATTTCTGGTGAAGGACTGATTGAAGCTGTAAAAAAGCTCCCAGCACTCGAGGAACTGGAGATAATTATATGTAATGATTACTCTGCAGATGATATTGAAGCTATTGGCCATGCCTGCCCTTCACTGAAAGCATTCAGCTTCAATGATGTTGGATCTAAGACTCTGGATTTTACTTGCAATGAGGAAGCATTAGCCATTGCTAAAAGCATGCGTAATTTGCGCAATCTTCAACTGATTGGAAGTGGTATCACAAATGAAGGCTTAAAAGCAATTCTGGATGGATGTCCTCTTCTTGAATCCCTTGATTTACGTGCATGTTTCCACATCGATTTATCGGGAGATCTGGGGAAAAGATGTGAGCAGATCAAGCGCTTGCGGAGACCATATGATTCTACTGCAGATTATAGTCACCAAGCATGTGCTGATGATCCAGAACATTACGGAGCCTACAAGTTGGGCAGTCCATACAGCGAGTATGATTCTGATGATAGTGGCTTCTATGGATATCCAGGATACCTTGATTTCGAGGATGAATACCTTGACTAATTTGATGATTATGATGATCTCCCACTCCACTTCATTGCTCAGTTTGCTGGTGCTGGCCTCGTAGACTATGAATCCTCTGACTGATTTTTCAGCTCTTTTCCTCGTTGCTGATTTTTCATTCATGTTTTCCCGTCTGTCTTGTGTTAAATATTCTGTGGTTGCATGACTTGCATCTAAGTGACTCTAAATTACAACATTAAAATCAACTTCCCGTATTTTAAATAGAGTATATTTTTTCTTATATTAAATATTTAATATCTTTCTAATATAATATATATACATTGTTGATAGGTATTACACAATTACATCATTTCTTTAGTTCGTTATTAATTTTTTTTTTTTTTATTATGTCTTGTTTATTTTTTGAGTTTATAGTGTTTAATTTGAGTGTCTTCCCCTGTATTTTTCTGAGAAATACCCTAATTTAGCTCAATAAATTTGATGCACTTTTTTTTTCATAGAGAATGGATATACATCGAATTTTGATTCTGCAATGTCTTTTTTTTTTAAATCTATGTTTTAGGTTGAGTTTTTTTTGGATATGGGGTGAATGGTGGTATAACTCTGTTATGAAATTGTGAAACAAGCTTTCCATATGCTTTAATCGACGTCGATAATGATGCTAAAAGAATGTGCAAAGGTCTGGACTAGTTTCCTTGAGGATCCCCCCTTTATTTTTTATTTTTTATTTATATGATGAATTTTACTTGAAATAGTTTAAATAGGATGAATTACCAGTATATTGATGATTTGATATTACCTCATTTCTTGGTTAACATGATTTATGGAGTATGTCGCAAATTACTGTGTTTAGTTTGGTGTATTGACTTCTATCAAGCATTTAGTGCTGCAAAATAATCATGTTTCATGTAGTAGCAATTAGATGTACGTCAGGGAATGATTCAAGATTAGAACTTTGGTGATTTTTCTCATCAGACTATTGTGGCCATGTTTTCCCTTGACAATTGTAGATTTGTAGCGGCAAGTTATTGTTATTCCCTCTGATATATATTGTTCTTCTCTTTTGGAATTTTTTTTGAGACGTAATTGGTCAAAGTAAGAAGATCAATATAAAATGGAGGGAGTATAATTTTGGCTAGGTGCATTTTAATCTTACAAAAGGTTTACATTGAAAGCTGAAATTGGGTTGTGACTGAAAAGAGTACATTGATTCCTACTTCCTAGTTTTCTTCTCGTAGTGTTGTCTGACCTTAGTTGCCAGCTTGCCTTAAGAGCAGGACATGTATATGTTTAGAATGATATAAATTGGTTTTAGATGTGATATAAATCATATGATAGCAGGTAGCACGTCAACGTTTATAATGATTGAATTGGACATTCTTGATCACATTATGTCATGTAATTATAGGTTTTTGATGATTTGATCAATTGAGCATTAGATAGCTTTCTCAGCCCTCTCATGGCCATAACCTGTTATTCTAACTCTATGTTTTGAACAGGTCAAAGAATCTTAAGCATTTGCGATTATGGCACTACATTCGTATTTCTGATGAGGCACTGGTTGAAGCTGTGAAAAAGCTCCCAGCACTCGAGGAAGTGGAGATTATTATGTGTAAATTTCGTGAGGATACTACTGAAGCTATTGGCCATGCCTGCCCTTCACTGAAAGCATTCAGCTTAAATAGTGTTGGGTCTAAAACTTTTAACTATACTTGCAATGAAGAAGCACTAGCCATTGCTAAAACCATGCATAATTTGCGTAATCTTCAACTGATTGGAAACCGTATGACAAATGAAGGCTTAAAAGCAATCCTTGATGGATGTCCTCTTCTTGAATCCCTTGATATACGTACATGTTTCTACATTGATTTATCTGGAGACTTGGGTAAAAGATGTACAAAGATCAACTGATTGCGGTTACCATATGACTCCACTGCAGATTATAGCTACCAAGCTTGTACTGATTCAGAAAAGTATTCTGGCTACAAGTTGCGTAGGCCGTACAATGAGTATGATTATGATGATAGTGGCCTCTTTGGTTTTGATGCAGAGTACCTTAGTTTTCAGAATAATTACCCTTTCTGTATTGATTATGATGGTAAATAACTAAATACCCCTAGTTTGCTGATACTGGTCTCATAGACTATGAATCCTCTGACTGATTTTCCTGTTCTTTTTCCGCCTTGATGAATCAACAATCATGTTTTTACATTTATCTCAGGGTAATAATGTAGCTTGTTGCATCTCAATTTTGTTTGTCCTTTTTGCTTTGGTTTATTTTCCTTGGTGGAATCTCGACCTAAAGCATTTTTTTGGATGATAAGAGAAAACAGGACATTAAACAAGTTGAACCAATATGATGATAGTTTCTATTTATTCTGTTATTTTAATCCAGTCACTTGTAATTTACTTTTTAAGTAATCGTCATCTATCACAAAATGTACATGTGATCTGCTAGAAGCTTAGAAAGACATTGACTTCCTGTTGATCATTTTTGTCAAATATTCGTAGGTAGAAGTACATCTTATATAATTAATGTTTAGATTTGGAGCTATCTGAAATGGTCATAGATATTTCACATAACAGACCAAAACATGATTACTCAATATAAATTATAAATGCAGTCAACTTTGACCAGCTAATTAAATACATGATGCAAGACCAAAAATTATTGATGCAAAAAGATGATGTCTAATGCACCAGAATTACGGTCTAAACTTACAAAAGTCTACATTTCGCGGAAAATCTTCATCAGAATCTGCTAATGATTGTTACAGCAACGTTTGATTATAGAAATGATATATGAAATACATGTACAATGGTTTAAGTAATTTGACAACCTTATGATGCCGTTACACATTATTTCACCAACCATGCTTTGATGAAGAACATTACAATAATCTATGCCTAATGATGTTGATTAGTCAACTTAACAACAGTGAGTATGATTCTAATGACAGCCGCTTAATTCTGACTATTCTGGAGGCTGCCTTTTGGATTATGAATATTCTGACTTTTCGGCTCTTTTTGGCCTCTTTGGATCTTAGTATGCTTGCCTTGATTGCATGCAGACGTATCAAATCATACATTGTTCAAATGTCACATCCTTGCAGGGCCGAGTACATGTAAGATTCTTCCTCGATTTTTATATCATCTGATCATTTAACTAACTTCTACTCTTTATACGAGCATTATCTGTCTCTAATATATGTCAATTTGAATCACCAATGCATTATATTTGCCAGTTTTCCAAATTTATGTGAAAAATAAACTTTGCACAACTTAAGAGACAATCATATGGGAATGTAGGGATATTCATCAGAAACTCTGTAGTTCCTGACTTCCTACAATATATATTCTGTATGCATGTAATTAGCTTCAGAACTCTACTTGAATTATGTTATTAAATTGAAGGCACATACATTAGGTGGTCTGAAAACATGAATATGATTATATGACAGTAAGAATTGAACATGCTACATTTCTACTGCAACCTGTTAAAGTTTAGGTGTCAGTGTGTCATACTGAAACTGTATGATGAGGTTTGTGACTGTGACCTCGGGGAGCCAGGATAAGAGGAGGTGGGATCGAGTGAGGAGATGCGAGGAACTTGTAGTGATTCAACCGTTCCCTCTAGCATGTCGACCACTTGGCTCATCTCTGGTCGGCTTGATGGGTTAGTCTTAACACAACATAAGCTCACCAAAATCATCTTCTTTTGAATATCCTTCTCATCAGAACTCAACATCTCTTGGTCATCCAATGCTTCCCCTAATTCGAGTTTCTGATATATCCATTGAGGGAAATATTGTTCGCTGTTGCACTCAATGCCTTCAATATCAGTTTTTCTTCGACATCCAACCATTTCTAGAACCAACATTCCGTAGCTATAAACATCTGATTTGTAGGAAACACCACCAAAACTCCTTAAAAATACCTCAGGAGCAATATATCCCACAGTTCCTCTGGCTTCAGATATCGATATTAGGCTCTCCTTCTGAGGGCACAGCTTAGCTAGGCCAAAATCAGAAATCTTTGGACACAAATTTTCGTCTAAGAGAATATTGTGTGGCTTAATGTCAAAATGAAGTATTCTTGTGTTACAACCTCTATGCAAGTACTCTAGCCCTCTTGCAGTTCCAACCGCGATTTGAAATAATTCTTCCCATGTCAGAGTATGGTGGCTGTTTTTTCCATAAAGATACTTCTCAAGTGATCCATTAGGCATGAAGTCATACACAAGAGCTCGATGTCGACCTTCATAGCAAAAACCCAAGAGACTGACAATGTTTATATGGTTGGTCTTTCCTATACTAGCAACCTCATTTATAAAATCCTCTGCATTTCCTTCTGATTTTTTCAACATCTTTACTGCAACAAGACTCTCAGTATTCGGAATCTTTCCTTTGTAGACAATACCAAAGCCTCCTTCACCTAACTTATCTCTGAAAGAATTGGTTATTTTCTTCAGATCAGAATATGTGTGTCTTTGTAGACCAATAGTTCCATGAATCTTGAGAAAAGCCTCAACATCCGGCTTCTTTTTTCGCTGAGGATCCTCTTCCTTTGATGAACATCTTTTTCTTAGACAGAAGACTAATAAAATGATAATTCCTAATCCAACAGCTGAGAAAGAAGCTGCAAGGCCATCAAGTAAAACATGTAATTAATTTATGAGATCGTCTTACCCAAGACTTGTTCAATCAGCGATCTTCATGTGTAAGAAAAAATTGAAATATGAGGAACAAAAAAGGTGAAAAAGACATTCAGGTACATCAGTAACACTACCTATTAGCGCAATCTTGGACTTGGTTAGGATGGCCTTGTATGGAGTGGATCCTGTTTTCAAGATTAAGTTAGAGATATGATTTAGATTTCAGATAAATAAGTCTAATTATTAGGTGCAATTACGAGTATTATTTCACGAATATACCTGGGAAAGGGCACTTGGATTCATCTGTGCAGAAGCAAAAGAACTTGTTTGAAAGCGGCTCATGTCCACACTGCCCTCCGGATTTGAGACATGCTTCACACGAGCCATTATTCGCGTTCCATTTAAGCTCGAAACCATTCCAAGCAGCATTTGGTATGTAACCACCTATCTGATCCATAGCCAAATTGTCATCCATATGAATTGGAAGAAAAAGATGGTTAGGACATGAAGATACCGAGACACTATTATTCATCATGGCATTCTTAGTCAACCAACAAACCGGTACATTCGTGGGATTCATAGGACACGAAAACTCTTTCCAAGTCTTAGTAGAATTACACAACGTCGAACAATTACCATAAAACAAGGTAAGGTTGGCATCGCGAGGTGTATATTGAAAAATCGAGAAGTCTATTGATATGTTTTGTAAGGAGTCAGGGCACCCTGACTTTGCTTTAAAATCATGCCTAGCAACTGTTACGGTTGATGTTGTGTAATTAACGTTCATAACATCAAAAGTTTGCGACATCATGTTCATGGTAACCGGTGTAGCAATTTGGTTGCACCCTAAGAGCTCAAACCCGGGGTGGCCACAATATGAAGGTCGGTCCAAACCATAGAAAGGGTAGCTTAAATTTGTTATGTTACCACAATTGAATGACTGACTACATGATTTGAACTCTTTGCTAACGCGACAAAGAGATGTTGGAAGGTTTGTTAATAATGCAAAAATGAAGAAAATACATGAAGATAGGATTAAGTAATTCATACTGTATGTATGGTATGAAGATAGAAAGAAAGGGAAAAGATAGAATTTGAGGGAAGATTTTATTCAAATGTGATATTTGTAAGCAATGACATCAAATGTAGAGGAATATAGTGATTATATGGTCAACGTCAAGAAGTGGGAACATATTAACTTTATTATATGGCCTTGAGGCTGGCAGTAGGGTCGAGGCACTAGGAAATAGTTTGGCAACTAGCCAACTACCCAAAAAAATCCAAAATAATCTTAGTTCCAAGGTAGAAAATGAACAATGAACGGATGTATATTATATTTTCTCCGTTCTAAATTAAATGACGTAGTTTGACTTTGTATACTACTATTTACAAAACTTGTTTTGATTTTGTTTTGTAATTTCGTGTTGAGAAAACGTATAGTCATATGAGGTTGTTAAATTCGTTGTATGATCTATTTTTTAAATATCAATTTTTAAAATTTTTTACTAATATATAATCAATGATATTTAAATATGTAATATGCGATTATTACGAAATGAAAGGAATATAATATATTCATTGGTTATAAGATAAAACTTTTGGTTAAATTGATCCTGTATATGATCACATCTAAATCATGCTATTAGGAGTCTAGATATCAAAAACTTACTTAACCGACTTAACGCGAAGAAATCTGATTTTAAATTTCGACTTGTATGAGCACAATAATTTAGCAGTACTCAACTGCTTTAAAATAGACCCAACTCAACTCGACCCGTGTACTCAAATTGATACCTGTAGGCTCTGTCTATGACTATGATAAACCTATTTTGAGGATGTTAAGGCGATTAAGGGAAGAAGCCTAAGATTTTAAAATCTAAATCCATTGCATGACTAGTATCCATGGGTCGGTATGAAGATGTCGGATTTTAAGCCCAAATCTATTACTAGTATTAATGGGCTAGTATTGAGAAGTCGGACTTTAAGCCCAAATATTGCTACACTCATAGTGTTTATCACTTTATTGTAAGGCATGAAGTTGCACCGGGAGGTTTGGGGTGTTTCTCAAGAGGGAAAATCCATAGTCTTTGGTCGATTTATTTTTAATAATTTCGACTAAGGTTTATTTTCTCATAATCTCAACTATGAGGTCAGTTTGCCTCTAATAAGCCTAACCTATCAACAAGTATTCAAAATGTTTGTTTTCGATGTATACAAATGTTTTTGTTGGGCTATTGGACATCGAGTTACGAGTTTGGTTAATTTAGGGGTGAAAGTTATTCGGATTAAAACTAAATCGGTTTGGATTTTTTTTTTTAATTCGGATTTAGATTGGTTTGGAAAATTTAAAAGATATGGATTACGGATTGGATTTGGTTTAGGGTTTAAAAAAACCGAATTACAAACCAAAGCGACCTATTATTTTTAAGCCCAATTTTCTTTTTTAAAGTATCCAACCCTTTTCCCATTCATATATAAACTAAAAAAAATCCTAATTCTCCATTCTACATTCTCAATGTCTTACTATTTTGCAAAGAATGTAGTTAACAAGAAAAGGTTGAGTGGTCGTAGGAAATTTCTGGTTGAAGTTCAGGTCTGGTTAACTAGCTCTTGACACATGACATTTATTAAAAACATTAATCTTTTGAAAACATCTCCTAAAGTTTGGATTATTAATATCAATTTCTCCTAAATTTTTTTAAAAGGTTTGTTTTGGCATATATTTTTTTTTTTGGTGCACTTGTTTTTGCATTATTAATATCATGTATACAAATGTTTTCCAATGTTTTTTTGGGCTATTGGACATCGAATTTGATCAATTTTTAGGCTTGGTCTCCTTGAGGGTGTGTTTTGGTCCAAAACAAAAGCGTCTTTATTTATTTTTTAAGTCGGCTCTTGCCAGTATAAATAGCAGAGATTTTTCTTTATATCCCTCCAAATTAGCAGAATTCTCAAATCGAAAAACGTAAAAATGGCGGAAAACCAAAAAACTGTGGAAAAATCAATGGCCTCATTGACAATCTCTTCTCCTCCTCAAGATCCGATTGATGGGAGTGAGCCCTACAGCGCGGAACGCTTTGATGTTGATGCAGGGTTTGAGACTTTTTTTGCGATGTGTGAGAAGTAAGTGTATTATAGTTGTAATCTCAACATAATTAATTTCATATCAAAGCTAGGGTTTAGGATAATCGATTTTTGATGCCTTAATTTTTCAAACTCATGAATTGGGGTGGAAATTACGAGTATGTTATCTTTATAATTGTAATTGTAGTCTCATAAGTGTGTTTATGGTTTGGGTTAATTAGTTTTCCATGTCATAATCTATCAAATTTCAGATTCGTGAATTGGGGATGATTGAACTTAATTATGAGAATTTAGTATTGTAATTGTGAAATCTGTGATTTCAACTGTGTGTGTGTTTGGAATTCAGTTTCAGTATGTAGTTAGGGTTTGATATAGTTGTTTTCTCAATTTCATGAAATTGCGAGTATTTAATGATCAAATTAAATCTGGCTAATTAAACATACTATTGCAAGGTTGAAGTCGACGGTCTTTTATCCAGTTACCATTCCCGTGATGGGTACTCAAATCCCAGGCACCGACTGTTTCAGGCACAACACTGTTCAGGGTCGTCGTGATAAGATGGTTGATTTTTATCCCGTGACTTTGGCATACTTCAACAAAAAATATGTATGTGTATATTTAACTTAAATATCCTGAATGAACTGATTATGTCTATAAGTTAGGGTGCACCATTAGATGCCCGTTGTGATTAATATTGGTGCAGTTTTATTTGTCTGTTGTGATTATCACTTGTGGATACCAATTGACCATTCCTATGAAAAAAACTTGTGCATAACCTTATATGACACAACTGAAAGGAGCAAGGACTACTATATAAGTTGGGTGCGCAATAATTGTCAATTCATTCATTGTGATTATAACTCGCAGTTACCTAAGGACTGTTCCTGTGTGAAAATGTGTGCACTTAATATGGAATAAAGATTGGAAGGTTAGGGGTGCACTATGTTATGTCGTGGAATTTAATTTTTTAAAATGCCGTGCAGAACACAGATTATGAGTATGTGGATTGTGTTGATCTGATCGCTTCTGGAGTGGTACGCTTGTCATTGCAACTTCACTGCCAAACCTGAATCAGCGCCTTTCAAGCCTCGTGATTTTTCCACCAAACTTTTCTTTGCGGAATTCATGTATACACCTGTTGCAAAATCGTCCCTCACTTTTTGCAGTATGCTAGACGGTAAGGCCTCTCATCATCATTTTACCTATCTTTTTAATACTCAACATTTAAGGGTATATTCTTGTATATTTTACCCATCTCATGTAAACTAATTACTTTTTCAGTCTTACCTGGCCGACCTTCTAAGGACAGAGCCGAGAGACTAGATTTGTCTTGGGTTGTTAGGTTGCGTTACTGATAATGTAAATCTGTATAACATAACTGAGTATAAATCGATGAATAATATTTTGGATGGCATGGTTTCTTGTTGGTGTATCATTAGATCCTTTGAGATTTGGCATCCTTGATATTTTGTAGTGTTTTTTTTGTCTGCCGTAGGATTCAAAATGAATGACCTCCTTGTCCCGCAAAATGTATGCCTTTGTATTGTGTAATGCCTTTTATCTTACCTAATGTTTGGTGTTAGTGCTCCGTACTATCAGTATTTTGCTGCTTGATTTGAGTTCTTTGTGATTATGCTCATTATGCCATACATACTATCATAGTTAACACAACCTTTGTGTTTTTTTTTTTTTGGTTCATGCTGCCGTCTATTTTTTTTGTATGTAGTCAGAAATTACTAATTAGTGTATCATTTTTGTTTTGGCGGTATTTTTTTATTTTATTCTGTCTCATGAAATTACTGATGCCAGTCTGTTCCTCCTCCTAAACCCAAGGCTCTCATATGACTTTATGCTGAGGGCAGAGGGGAGTGATGAAGGGCTTAATGGTTACATTTTTTTTTTTTTTGAACGGGGCTTAATGGTTACATGATTACATCATATTCTTCCAAAATCTAGCATAGGTCTCAAGGAAGTGTGTGAAATTATTTTTATGAAAGTTATATGAAATTTGTAATATAATAAAACCTTGTTCATGCCCTAAATATTGGAGTGTGTGAGGCTGCTGTGTGATCTGAGGGGTATGTGTTGGCTGTGGCAGGCCTTGATGCTTGCCAAATTCGTAAATAGGCCTGATTGTGGAGCAGTGGGTTTGTATGTATGCTTAGTTGGTCCCCTGTTTTTTTTAATAGAAAAACTAACACTATCTCATTCAGTAAGTTATAATGAAAATGAACACATCTCCCTCACACACAATCATGGCTCCTTAATTTCTGATGGTCTAATTTACTTGATGTCCTATAGGTGCTGAAGCTGCATGCGAAGGCGACTGCTCGATATGCCCTGAAGGGTTTATTACTCATCCGGCATCTTTCAAAAGTGGCTTAAAAAAGTCCTTGATGTGAGCATGATGTACAAGAATGTGGGTTGCTGGCATCTAATATCATTAGCAACTAGTGTGGAATTTGAAGTTCATATGGAGTAGTATAAATATTTGTGTAGGAGACGCTAGGCACAACTTTTTCATGGAATTTGAATTTAATATGTAGTATAAATATTTGTATAAACTAGATTCTATGTATGAGAAGTATGCAGACTTGGTTCATAAGAGTTGCAAAAGTGTCTTCATGTCATTTTTTCTATTTCATACCTAAGTTTCCAGTGTCTTTGCACCATTGCCATTGTGCCCAATTGCTTGGAAAGATTTATATTATTGGGTCAAGTTGATTTTCCGAGTCAGCAAATTAGCGTCTTTTTTTAATTTTTGTTACTCCCTGGGTCCCTTAATTTTCATAATGTTAGTCTTGCATTTTATTTTGGACTTTCCAAAGAAATAGTCCTATATTACTCTCATTTTAATGGTCCTTGTGCAAAAATGATCAAATTGGTTTACTCTTTTATGAAGTGAGCAACATTAATTTACTTTTTATTGCAAATTCTTTATTGATTATAACTTTAATGCGCATTAATTTACTTTTAATTGCCTGATGAAGTGATTAGTCATTGAACCATGAGCTCCAGCCTAATGGTTCACTTGACAAGTATGTATACTGTTTCAAAATCAGAAGTTTTTAGCAGTAAGATTGTAGGACATGTATTTTGCACTTGGACATTAAGCCTCACAACATAGTGCTGGATGCAAAATTCTGTCTGAAAATCTCAGATTTTGACATTAGCTAAGTCGAATGTACAAATAAAGAGCTTAATGACAATCATATATCCGATATCTACAGCTATGAATGCTGGCTTTAGACTTGGTTGTAGAAAAAGCAGTATTGCTGGAAGTGTTGAGAACACGGGCAGTGAGCTAGAAGAGAAAGATATACAGAATAAATTAGTTATAGTTAGTTTGTGGAGCATCCAAACGAATCCTTCAGGCCGGCCATCAGTCAGCAGAGCAGTGGAAATGCTCTAAGGAGACATCGAATTACTGCAGATTCCTCCCATCCCATTTCTGCCCTCTCCTCCTAAGTCACATTATCAACATGATTCATCTACTAACACTGCGACATTAGAACTACAACTGACAAACTGGTCATCTGATTGAATAGGACATTGACTCAAAGCAACTTTGGAAATGGGGGCAGTATACATTTGATCATTGGTGTCTCTTTGGTTAATTACTACCACAAAATCAACTGATACACTTTCAATCTCATTATCTCATAACTGCTCTGAAATTTTATTTTATTTTATTTTTTATAATTTAAATATCAAAACGTTTGACAGATTTGCCGACAACGTATTCAATCTAGTGGAATAATCAAGATCAAGTCAAACTTGTACGTCAACAGTCTACATCTAATTTTCTTTGTTTAATCAACTAGTGCCTTCATATACTTTAAACACTGCATTTTTCCATTCACTTAACCAACCATCTACCAAATATGGCTCCTTTTCATCTGCCAATAATACTGTCCATGACAATATTCATGGTTATTTTCTGTTTTTCAACCTGTTTTGGCAGTGACCTACAATTGTATGATAGCTGTGGGAATTACTTCAGGTGTGGCACTGTCAAAGCTGGGTTTCCCTTCTGGGGAGGCGGCACTAGGCCGAAAGAATGTGGTTACCCGGGCTTAGAGCTTGGTTGCGAGAACAATGCTACCACCACTATACAAAGCAAGGGTATGAAATTTCATGTCCTTGACATCAATCAAAATACACAAGTTCTGAAGATGGCCAGGGAGGATTTTCTGCAAGGAATTTGCATGCAGAAATTTATAAACACCACTATTGATCCTGAGCTATTTGATTATGCGCCTGGATCCCGTAATCTTACGGTTCTATACGGGTGCCCCCCTCCTTATACGGCTAATCCTAGTCAATTTACTTGCAAAATCTATGGTACTAATGACACTGAGGGTTATCCGGTAGAAGGAGCGATCGGCCCAAGTGGGTGTTTTGCTAGCATTGTGGTCCCGGTTGTTGATTCTTCAGCTGCACAAATAGGGAATTGGAGTCTGACTCAAATCATTGGGAAAGGGTTTGAAGCAATCTATAAGGTTCAGGGTGAAGATTTATGTGTTGGATGTGAAGCATCAAAAGGTAGATGTGGTTTTGATCTTATTTAAAATAAGATATCATGTCTTTGCCTAGATGGAAGTATTGGAGATACACCATGCAACAAGTCAACATCTTCTGCTAAATCAGGTATGCTCATTGTTCTTATTTGATTGCATCTTAGGCTAAAATTGTCTGTCACATGTGATACATATTGGCAATTGCATCGTTCAGTAGTTGTGTTGATCACATCTTGCATTGATCAGCGTTCCCTTTCCACTACAATTCAAAACCTAAAGAACAGAGGCTTTGTCACTCTTTAATTCTGGAACTAGTGTTTTGAGAATTGGTTTGTTTACCACACTCCTAAACCCTATATTAGGAGTATACACCCCAGTTTTGAAACACACATCAATAAAGCCCTATACTTTCTCTATTTTTTCATTAACTAAACCTACTGTATAACTTTAATGCAATCAAACATTGTCCCAACATAAATTATACTCTTCCCACCTCCAAGTCCTGATATGATATCCACAAGTTCAGCAATTTCGTATGATTGTCCCAACATAAATTATACTCTTCCAGGAGTTTACTTTAAGATTGATGATGATTATACCCCACCAACTCGATGCCAAAGCTATATCATTGTCCCATTATTCAATCAATCTGTAGACATTTTGAGAGATCCAGACAGCGTAAAGAGTGCCTTTGAAAAAGGCTTCGAATTAGAGTGGATAGCTGACAACGATTATTGTGATATATGCCGTGAGAGGTGGGGAGTGTGGCTATGATTTTAGCCAGAGAAATTCCGCTTGCTATTACGATTACGGTATGAATCCTTTCATTTTCATTTGGTTATGCAGTTATACTACAAGCATCTTCTGATTAACTTAAAGAGTATATTTTGATTAGCCTGTTATTTGATGATCTGCTGCTTAAATAATTTATGTCTTTTTATACCAAAAAGCTATACTATGTCTTGATTATTACCATTTTCATAATTAAAGGTAATGATCGATAGATCATGATTATATGAAATTAACAATATCTTGACTAGGTTGATTAGGTTGTTACATACTTGGATGCCAAACTAGCTATTCTACATTTCTACTCACATTATCTATCTTAACTAGCTTTTGTAAATGGAAAAATTGTCATGATTATTCCCAACTTTGCTCCGTCCGCTGCAATTAATTCCAACTTTCGTTTATTTTTATTAATCCCAACTTAATACCACATCCGCCCAGAACACTCAAGTGACTTGCAACGCGTACTCCATTTCGCTACTTTATTCCCAGGGATTTACATCCCCCTTAGGCAAGAATATCCCACGGGATATGTGCAAAAGAAGCATTACTGTGCCTATTACCAATTCTGAATCTGCTCTGAGGACAGTAGATACGATAAGCTTAATGGCGGCTTTACGCTATGGTTTTGAGTTAAGAGTGGAAAGCAGAGAATGATGTGTGTGATAAGTGTCAATGGGGAATGTGGGTATCATATATACTACTCTGAGTAGATTTACTTGCTATTGCTCTGATCAGCCTTACACTTCTAAATGTCCTGGTAAAAGCCCTGTACTTTCTCTAGCAAAATTTTCGTTAACTACTTAACCTAATGTATAACTAATTAACTTTAATGCAATCAAACTTCATAGGATACTTGGCATGAAAGCTCTACTCACCACTAACCCATCCAGGACTTAACCTTCCCATTTCTATGATACTCGTAATACTTACTCTACCGGTCTAGCTCATTATCCGAGAAGTTCTAATATAAGTATTATCTATATCACTATCACTAAAGTATGCATTGAAGATGTAAAACATTTGATACTTATACAAATGATTCTAATACATTGTTTCAATTCCACTCTGGAAACATATCTTGTATATTTTTCAAATGGGGAAGTTAACGAGTCTAGCAGACTGACTTTTCAGTATGTGTTAATCACAATATCAAGCAGACTTTCTGTACAAGATTGAATAATTTGTGTCCTTTTTGATTGTTTTCTTATATTGATTTCAGATTTGGTTCTTGCTAACATTAAGTTAACATTTAGCAACTAATCATGAAAAAGACTGTTTTCGTCCAAGGAACTGCAGGATTATTCTTTAATCTGACCAAGTAGAATGTCAAAACTGGTGGCTGATAAGGACATGCTTTCTTGTGGTTCCTTATCCTCTGATCAATTACCATATTCATAGAATGTCAAAATTGGTGATCCCTACACTAATCTTCTTACTTAATTAAGGTTGAATCTTATTCCCTACCTAAAGCTTTACTATCACACAATTACCATATTCATAGGCTTAAATTTTCAGGTTTATGAGATCAATAAGTGTAGACTAGCATCTTTCCCTTTGTTTGAAACTGTTGTCCTTCTAGCAAGGCAAATGAAGCCAGTAGAACTGTAGAAATTAAGCTAGGTACACTATATAAGTAAAAATTATGCTTCGAGCTCCTATGGAAGTTGAAATTACAACTACTACCTCCATTACATATTAGTTGCAACTTTGGAATATTTTATCTCTCACAAATAATCCCAAAGTTGCAACTAATATGTAACGGAGGTAGTAGAAGGTCAAGGATTTGAAACTCCTCTCTTTAAGAACGACAGATCTAATTTGCCTCACTACGCTGAATCTTTAAGATAAATCTTGCTGGATCATCCCTTCTAAAGAAAAAGCTGAAGACTATACTGATAATAATAGGTAATATATATGTCAAACTTTGTTTATCATAAGTAACTGATAACTTCAACCTTTTAAAGTCTAATAATTTTCTACTTCATCATGTAGCTTCTTCAGCTTTTGGGTTGGCCCTGATTGCAGTTGCCCTACTTTCTTTCACAAAATCAAAGGCATCTCAGAAACTTATCTTAACAAAGGAAGAAAGAAAAGACAGCCACGATGTGGAAGTTGTGCTTAAGCGCTACGGAGAATATGCTCCCAAAAGATACACCTACGGTGAAATAAAGAAAATGACTAGTTGCTTTCAAGACAAACTTGGTGAAGGCGGCTATGGTGGTGTCTACAAAGGCAAACTACAAGATGGTTCTCCTGTTGCTGTTAAGTACTGAAAAATCCTAATTGCAAGGGAACAGATTTCATAAATGAAGTTGCCAGTATTAGTGAGACTAATCATGTTAACATTGTCACTCTTTTAGGTTATTGCTATCAAGGCCGCAAAAGAGCTCTAGTTTATGAGTTCTTGCCTAATGGTTCACTTGACAAGTATATAAACTGTGGTCAAAATCAGAATTCAATAGCATGGGAAACGTTACTTCAGATTGCAATTAGCATTGGACGAGGCTTAGAGTACCTGCACCAAGGTTGTAGGACACGTATTTTGCACTTCGACATTAAGCCTCACAACATACTGTTGGATGCAAAATTCTGTCCGAAAATCTCAGATTTTGGCTTAGCTAAGTCATATGTGGAAACAAAGAGTTTGATGACAATGTCTGGAACAAGAGGCACACCAGGATACATTGCTCCTGAAGTGTTTTGTAGAGGCTTTGGCGGTGCTTCCCACAAATCAGATGTCTACAGTTTTGGGATGCTGGTTTTAGATTTAGTTGGGTGTAGAAAAAACAGTATTACTGGAAGTGAGAAGACGGGCAGTGAGCTATATTTTCCTCACTATATATACAAGCAGTTTGAGCTTAAAGAGGGCCATGAGCTTTTGGGAATCTCAAATGATGAAGAGAAAGAAATACAAAAGAAATTAGTAATAGTTAGCTTGTGGTGCATCCAAACAAATCCTTCAAGTCGGCCATCGATCAGCAGAGCAGTGGAAATGCTCGAAGGAGACATCGAGTTACTGCAGATTCCTCCCATCCCATTTCCATCCTCTCCTCCTAAGTCACATCATCATTCATCAACATGATTCATCTACTAACACTGCGACATTAGAACTACAACTGACAAATGGGTCATCTGAATAAGAGATTGGTTCTAAGCAACTTTGGAGATGGGGGGCACTATGAGCAACATTTGATTATTTGGTGTCACTATGGCTAAAGCCTATAGTCAATAGATTTCTTTGATTGTTAACTATTACGGAGTGACAATTTACCACAATATCAACCGATACACTTTCAAAGATATAATGTATCTAAGAATTTTGTAATTGGTTTCCTAAAATCGTTGCTTTGGAAGGATATAAAAAGTCTCTAGATTTAGCTCTAGGCAGAAGCAAGAAATAGACATCAGATCATGTTACTAGCTTTTGTACTTGAACTCTTGAAGCATTACAAAAATCTACATTGCAATTGCCTAATTTATGGCAAGCAATATAAAATGAGGGCACATGGAGCAGTAATTTGATCAATTTGTAGTCACTATGGTTAAAGCCTATACTCAATAAGCTAGACTCTTCTATGATTGTTAGCATAAATTCAAGGTTATGAATTAGGTTCTTATTCAAGACTCCTAATTTCCGAGCAAATTCTAGTCGAGTTTTCAAGTCGGGTCAATTTTGACAATTCTAGCACTCAAAAAGGCCATATAGTCCAATCAATGCAATCCAAAATTCAACCAATTATCAGATGTATAAACTTCACAACAACTACAATCAACCAAAATTGTGATTAAAGCACTCATAAATTGGTAAAACATAGTATCAACAGTATATAATCAATTTATTTCTTAGTAGAATCAGTACCTCTAAGAGATTGCCAGAAAACAGGCCAATTCTTTTGAGCTTCATTCCAACCCCAGAAAGAACCTTCCCTTAAAGGATCCCAACTAGAGGACACAATCCCATAACTAACCCCTAAAAGGGCAGTCCCAAAGAAGATAAAGGACACTATAAAGGGCACCCAAGTTGGTACATCAATTTTTAACCCAACTTTTAAATAATAAAAAAATGGGAAAAATGCTAACCCAATAAACAGAGGTACCCCAACTGAAAATCCCATCCTACTGATCATCCTGTTTGTAACAATTTCTGGGATTATCCCTTGTTCTGCTTCTTCAACTTCATCATCATCTTCATCATCTTCTTCTTCATCTTCTTCATTGTTGATTTTCTTGCTTTTTTTGATCTTTTTATTTGGGGCACCAAATCCTTTAGGGTTTCTGAGAGTGGCTTTAAGGTAGGTGGGTTTTGAGGAGAGAGAAAGTGTGTTTGTGTTGATTTTTGAGGTGGGAATTAAGAATTTTGAAGTGGGTTTAATGGTGGGAGTTGAATTGTTTGGGCAGATTAATGTGGGAGCTCTTTGGTAAGAGCAAGACTCCATTTTTCTGAAGCTTCTCTGAACACTGAATTACTGTGAATTTCTCATTTAGTTGAGTGGTGATGAGGAAAAAAGATAGTCTTATCCGGATCTACATAAAATTACCTGAATACCCCCAATCTATCCATTGAGTTTCTTGATTGATTGATTATAGCCTTATTGGGGTACTCGGACAGTCGGACATGAGACTAAGGGTAAAGTCGCAAAATCATATACTACCTCCGAATCAGATTATGAGTATAAGCAACTTAGGAATTTTTATACTTCGTATCTCACAAATAATACCCTAAATTTGCATATACAATCCGGAGGTAATAGTACGTATTCTCTATCTCTAAAAGTTTGACTCATTTTTGAAGTGTATGTAGTCTCCAATATGCATATTTGATCATTGAATGTTGATATATTTTCACCTATGTGTAAGAGAAAATTACTAGTACTTGTACTTCATATAAAAAAAAAAAATCATATGTATTTGAAAAACTTAAAACAACTTATATAATAGTGAGCTAAAACTTACTGGTTAAAACTTGCTCCTTTCGTGTTTTAATAAGTGTTATAACTGTCAAATGCGACAGTGTTTTAATAAATGTACACTTCCTTTTTTTTTTGAAAAAAATTACAGTACATTTTAATATCATATTCTTCTCCTTTTATGAAGATCGCCTACACTCACTATTACGTTTTTTATCATTTATTTTCTCTTATATTCATTACTTTTTAATAATTTATTAAATGCACTATCTTTCTTTTATACTTTTACCTCTTATTTTATTTGAATCAAAACTATGTGGTAGTTAAAGTGTAACTAATTGAACTTATGTTTACAAAATTAGATTATCTTTACAGAATTTAACTTATTTTTGCATAAATTGAGAAGTACAATACTCATTCGTTGATTGAATATACGATGCCATTACTTAAGCCGATAATTATTTGAACATAAAACTTGGGCCATTTAGGCTTTTGGAAAAATAAAATTTCCTCATAACTGTACAAGTCCTTTCAGCGTATTTTAGAAGGATATTTACATTGCGTCACCAGGAAAATAAACATCTAAGGTCATTTACACATTCAAACAATAAAATGATCGCACATATACCTTCTGAGAGTCTTATCACATAAAATTAAGATGTGACAATCTATAAAAACTATGAACAAATTATGTACATGGAAAATGCATGTAGGACTAAAGTAATTTCCTTCCAACTTCTATAGTTGGATTTTCGTGTAAAGGTCTTCAAGAGCAGCATACAAAGGCTCCGCAGCCTTTGGTTTATCCACCGTCCCAATCAAGATATCAGCTGCTGTAAGATAAGGGTCACCATAAAAGCGTAGATTTGCATCTATCCTTGTTGAGACAATATTCCCTTCCAGTGATACTCCCACAAACGCCCCTGTAACATCCAATAATAACCCAAAAGCTATCAAATTCCATGTTCATGGTAAAAAAGAACAAAATTTTGTTTACTCTTCTAGTCTAGGGGGGGGAAAAATTGGCTAAATAAATACAAAGTATAATTAACCATCCAAAGGCCAAAAGATGAAAGGTTCTGAAATGGAACATTAAAGAGTCGCATGTGTGAGCCATGCATTAATGAAAATCCAAAAATCAGCTCAGGCCCTAGCCGTCTGACTATATTCTAAAAAGCAGTTTCAATTGATGACATAATTAGTATGAATCAGTAAAAACGAATAATGATAACCACATGTGGCAATAACAGAAAATCAGAAATCAATCAGCATAACACAGTTTCGATTGGTAATAATCAATCTTAGTCGATTTCATCAATTAAATCTAATCCAGCAAAAAATCAGTTCAGTAGAACATTAAGGTGAAGGAAACAACGGCTTAGTAATTTGGTCAACAGAAGAGAAAAGGATCTAGTGGAAGCATAAATAAAATTGGTGATTACTCAGTATCAAAGTCTTCAATAATGTTTCCTAGATGCATCATGAACTAGTGCTCTAGGATTTCCAGTTCGAACCAATACTTTAAGGTTTATATCATAAATTGATAAAATCATACCTTTGCTACAACTATAAGAGTAGCACATGCCAGATCCTCTATCCCCAGCTCGAAGATCTGCTTCAAGTACTCTTCCTACTGGACCAGCTGCAGCACTACAGCCAGCCCCGAGAGAAAAGTGCACGCGACTACAGAATGTCTTCACAGCTTTGTAATCATGAAGCACAATTATGAAATCTGTTAGCTCACCTCCAATCTGTTGACCAAATTAATAGTATTACAATCATTACCAATACAGAACTGGAATGACAGTAAAAATCACATATACTAGAATAAATTATAAAAAAAATATAACAATAAAAAAAAAAAAAAAAACACTGTATTATCATGATATCATTAGCCAAAAGTATAACATCTTTCTCATAAACAACTATGCCCAGCCTCAGCAGCATTACCAATTTTTCACAAATCACAGTAAACATTATTCAACCCGGAAGTCAAAACAATTTGGCATACAAGTTTGTCATGGAAATCAAACATAGGCATCAACTTGTGCAATTGATTTCTTACAAAACAGAAAATGCTGAGATATGAACCTCATAATTGGAAGCAAAGTGGATAAACCTAATAAGTCAGATTCCTAGCAAAAGTGCAGGCATTTCAAGGTATTCTCCAAGACTCCAAGTAGCTAATCACGATTTTCCATTTACACAATCAGTTGTATATTTAATATCATAACTTTAAAACAGGACATTAAACAGAATTCACAGGCTTGCAAATCAAGCAGCTATGGGATTCAAGGATAATAGGATATATGATCCTCAAATACAGTCCTAAGATTTCCACACCTTCACTGAGATGTCTAGAGCCCTGAGAAGGCTGAGAGTGGTATAGTTACATGAAAATAAAACAAACACCAAGTGGTTCCTATTTTCTAATCACACATCATTCTGAGCAAACTTACATCAGAATAAGCATTAAATTTATCCAAAATATGACATGATGACAGCTACTCAAACCAAACAACAGCAATTACCCTTACCTGAACACCCCATCCCAGGCCAACTGAAGCAATTGCAGATGGAGCAGACCATGTTCCATCCATTCTTCGAGCAACTACTAGACCAGTGCCCATCTTATAAGCAACTACAGCACCCATTTTGGCAACAGTTAAAATTGCCAGGCCTTTAGCTCCTTTAAGAATTGCTGAAGGTATAGATCTCTCAGGATTCAATCTTGCAACCTGCACCACTCAGTATAATTCCAACAAAGTTAGATTATAACAGCATTGAATTGTTACATTATTTAATTCCTCTAAGAGGTTACTCAGTCCTCAAATTGTGGTAATTTGTAACAGCATTCTTACTTAAGAGGTTACTCAGTCCTCAAATTGTGGTAATTTGTAATTGTTTGGTTACTCTGAACATTCAATATAAGCTTTATCTTCTTCTCTAATACTGTTATTATTTTCAGCCTCGCATTATTCTGTGTTTGACCATCAAATTGTGAGGAAAAATCAACCCGATTCTAGCACACTCCGATTCTAGCACACTAGTTCCAGATCAGCATACCTATAAACAATACGCCAGAACTAATCCCTCAGTAGACACTTTTCACAGTTTCCACTTACCAGAAACAAGAAGCCAGTAAGCATCCAGCCGTTACCAAAGTCTTGCAAGGGGAAAGTTGAAAATAATGTAATACTCAACATCCCCAAACTAATTTTTTGCAGGATAAATTTGTTACAACATCTAATGTGTCAGCCACTTATTTTTTTACAGGATAACATATACAAGTACCTAGTTAGACAAATCTATCATACAGAAAACTAATACTCAAAGTCAACAGGTAAACATAATACACATCCCCAAACTATGAAAGCATGCTGTGGGGATGTAGTAACTGAAAAAAATGTAACTTTCATCAGGGTAAAAGCAATATACTTCCCCTAAAATATGAAAGAATGCAGTAGGAATCTAGTCACTGAAAAAAATGTGTATTATAAGACCATTTTTGTACCTGACTGTAACTCCTCAGTGTGACAGATGCTTTGTAAATCTCATGCTCCATCGATAGACCAACAGGAAGATTCAACCAACCCCTAGCACATGTCCAATCCGACACATCGTGCTTTGCGACCTGTACAGCATTGCTGATGGTGTTCACTAGTACCCCTTGCAAAG